TGAGCCGCTCGCAACTTGCAACATGAAATTCCTGTCCTGTAAAACAGCCTTTCTGGTGGCTGTCACTTCAGCGAGGCGAGTTGGAGAAATACTGGCTTTCAGACATGACGTTCCTTGTCATTTTTGCCAGACGGAGTCCGCCTTGTACCTGACATCTCGTTCTTGCCAAAGGTAGTTTCAGAATTTCTTCCCTGCTCCGACATCCCCAGAGGAGAGGCTGTTACACACTTTGGACACGAAACATGCGCTTCTGTTCTACCTAAACCCGCCCGAGACGCGACTGCCAACTGTTTGTTTCCTATGCACCAGCAAGGCTGGAAACTCGCATCACGGCTCAGCATTTGTCAAGATGGATTGTAGGTCTCATCCGCCTCTGCTAACTTATCGCTAAGCAGCCATTACCTTCCTATCAGGGCTCATTCAACCCGAGCTGTTGCAGCCTCAACTGCCTTCTTCCAGGGAGTTCCCTTAATGGACATTTGCAGAGCCGCTACGTGGGCTACGCCTAATATGTTCATAAGGCACTACGCCCTAGATGTCCGAAAGAACTCTCATACCAACATGGGATGTCACATCTTATCCCCGGCTTCGCAGTAATGACCTGCCAGCACCCTCCTCCAGGTAGGCCACTGCTCGCTAATCTCCCATGGGTGTGAAGCACAGAGACCATGTCGAAGATAAGCAGGTTGCTTACCTGTAACTGGTGAGCTTTGAGTGGTCATTTGTGCATTCACTCCACCTGCCCTCCTTCCCTGCTGCTGTCAGCTTCTACATTTTTCATAGGGGTTGATTCGTGGCGGTTTGAAGGAACTGGCAGGATGTCCGTGCCCATCCCTCTGGGCATGCGTGGTGGGGTTTCGGTGCATGCCTGAGGTCTGGATGCGAAAATCCGTTAGCGCTTGCTACAATGCCGATCGATCCAGTGCAGGCCCATCCCTCTGGGCATGCGTGGTGGGGTTTCGGTGCATGCCTGAGGTCTGGATGCGAAAATCCGTTAGCGCTTGCTACAATGCCGATCGATCCAGTGCAGGCGCACTGTATCCCATGGGTGTAAATGCACAGATGACCACTCGAAGATCACCAGTTACAGGTAAGCAACCTGTTTTCACTTAATTGGGTGGCTTGCTTTAAGATAAAAATCAGTAAGAATACAGCAATGGCTAGAAAGGGATTCTTTTAGATAGAAGATGATAGGCCAGTTTTTATTCAGGCTTCACTGACAGAAATACTAAAGAATTAGGTAGGTATCTTGTATGGGATTGCATTCCCCCAGCCACCCAACATTCAGCTCAAGTTGAGAGAACAGTCATGTGACTCGCACAGGAAGATAACAGGAAATGCGACATTCTTTGAGTACACTAGAATGTAAAAGATTTAAAAGAGACATGCTATACACACAAGAGAAGCAACGTTACCTCAGATCCAGATATCCAGAGTATTGGATACTTGGGGGACAGGGATTCAGCCACAGTTAAGAATTTCTATCCCATCTAGGTCTTAAAGCCAATAGGCTGTTCGACCGGAAAAAGACAGCAATATAACAAAAACGTTATTGCTGTTGAAAAGTCATTAAAAACAAAGGTTTAATTGCAACAGCTATATATTTACACACATTTAATGTTATATTAAAATCCAGGTCCACTAACAGAGTCATTAAATAATAGAAGAGCTAAGAATTTTTAAAACTGGCACATGCTTAATGGCCCCACTGAAATCGAACTTTTATTAAAGTTTGGCTCAACTCAAGAAATGTCATGAGAAACTCCTTTGTACAGATAAATGCAGGCTACAAATTTTAAAAGTTAAATAGTAATGAATTTTGTAAATAAATAGCAAAAAAGCTTTTTATATTCTTTTAAAAGGTATTTAAAAAAGCATAGAAGCTTTGTACACTTGCATCAATTCATTGAAAACAATTTTCCCCTGGCAAATCAGATCCTGCTGCTCTTGTAAATCAAGCAGAAATCACTGTAAAAATAGAAATGTCTTTTTTTCTGAAGATAGGTACTGCAATCCTACACATGTTTACTCACAAAAATAAATCTCAATTCAACTGGATTTATTCCCAAAGAATTATGCGTAAAATTGCAGCTTTAAACTAACAGAAAAAACACCGATCCTTCATAAGCTTCAGACGTCTGCAGGATCACAGCCATCCTCTGTTTTTGGTTTCCAAAGCAACAGATTCATAGAACTGTTTAACAGCATGTTCCAGTTGAATTAGTTGGCTACAACAAATTGACAACCGTTCCCTGGTAAGAGTGAAAAAAGAAAAGTTGCAAGTCCAAGCAAGGGCACTTTTTCAAGACTGACAGTTTTTGTTCAAAGTAACTCTACCAGAAAACAAGTCTATTATTACATAAGCTTAATTACAATAATCAAAATAGCTAAATTTGAGTCCAATAGCACCTTAAAGACCAACAAGATTCTTGGGGTATGAGCTTTTGACAGTCAAAGCTCTCTTCATCAGATACAAGCTTTAACTCTTGGAAGCTCATTCCCCAAAATTCTTATTGGTCTCTAGGGTGCTACTCGACTCTGATTGAGCCGTTCTACTGCAGACCAACACAGTTACCCTCTGAAATAATCAAAATAGCGTACAATATACCTTGGACCAGTCTCTGTGCTTACCATGACATCACTGAAAATGAAGATAAAGCCACGAGAACTTATCAAAGTACCAGTAGGAGGCAATGGACGGTTAGTTACTCTTGCAGGTACGTAACTCTTGACCTCAAAGTCCCACACCTCCTCTTCCAGACACTCACTTAACACCACCCTCTTCTGATATTAAGTAGTAGTATATAAGGAAGACCTCTGAGCATGTATAAAAATGCAATTCTCTCCCCACTGGGTAAGTGCAACTGTCCTGACATACTTGGAATTAAGGAACAGGACTACACTTCAGAGCAGGACTTCACCGAGCCATCACATTTTTATGCCTCCCTTCCTTCAGGGAGCTCAGGCCAATATCCATTATTTCACCTCTCCCATGTTTTATCCTCACAAGAACCCTGCACACGTTTGCTCTACTGCTGAGTGGCGATAAGAATGCAGAGTCTGATATTCTAGTCACTGTATCACTCTGGTTCTCTGTGCAGGCCTGGAGCTTGGTGCTTCTCCTTAAAAATAAATATTTGCTGCCATCGGCTGAGGAAAAGTACTTATTTACTTCATTTATACCTTGATTTTCTTCCCAGTGGGGACCCCAAAGTGGCTTACATCATTCTCCTCACCTCCATTTTTGCCTCCAAAAAACCTGTGAGGGTGGTTAGGCTGAGAGTATGTGACTGGCCCAAGACCACACAGGAGCTTCCATGGCAGCAGGGATTCACACCTGGATCTCCCAGATCCTAGTCCTACACTCTCACCACTACACCACACTGGCTGTCCAGTGGTCTGTTGGTATTCCCATACCATATGCTAATATATATATAGAAGAGGCATAGCTAGAGAACAAATATTTTAACCAACAAGTGTTCTCACTCCCCCTGATGCATACATCTTCTGGTCAGGTTTCAATGGCAATGAAAACCTACATTTCTGAACGTAATATCCCATTTTTTTCTACGCCACAGCAGCTGCATTAAAAACACTAGCAGCAGAATGCTTTGTAACTGGTGCCGGTACAAATCCTGACCTTGGAAAGCAATCAGAATGTTTGACAACACAGCCTAATAGATTGCCTCTTTGAAATAATCTCAAGAAACTTCCACGCTGTACGAAGGCATGAATATTTAACATGTCCCTGACTTAATTATAACCTACTTCAAAGACTGGAAGACTAATTAACTGCTTGATGGCAAGATAACAAACAAGGTCTGACATAGCCTATATTTCAAATTTTTTAAAAAGCTTTTGAAAAAACACTGGCATTACAGGAAATTTGGTTCATTTATTCTAGTGAGTACATGTACTTCACAGGGCAAGCGGAAGCTCTGAAATTCACCTTTGTGCTTACATGCTCACACACAGAAATCATTGAGCTGCCACTTCAACAATGTCTGAGTAATAAGGAAGACAGCAGTTACAGATGTTTAAATAATGTTACCTGTACATCCCCTGGGAAACACAGTCATAGAACTCTTCAGCAGTAAATGTTATGCGAGTGTTTATCTAAGGGGGGGGAGGAAAAAAACCATTGAAATGCTTAAATGGCTGGCATTGCTTAATATGAGACACTCAATTAAAAAGAAAAAAAGACAAGGAAGTACTGCTTCAGGGAAATGAGAAAGAGTAATGAAGGATTGCACCAAAAGTCATTTTCTACTGGTGGAAGGAGGGCGGATGTTGATGCCCTCCCACTGCAGACTCTCATTGCTCCCTTCATACTGTTCTTGAATGTTCCTTGTGCCCTCCGCCGAGAAGTATTTGGGGAAGTGCCATAAAGTTGGTGGAACAGGACCTTCAGATCCAGCTCACCATCTTTAAGGGAGGGGGTGGCAACTAGGCCCCTGGTTGAATCCAGCCCAAGGTCCAGCAGTTGCCAACTCAAGAGGGGGGGAAAGTGGGACTTGGCAGAACAGATGACACTCAGTCAAACCATTGGACTATGAATCTTACCATTAGGGTTGTGCAAAAAAAAATCTTTTTTTCCCAATTCAGGTCCATTGGACATGAAAAATATCGGTATTCCTGAATATTCCCGAATACCAATATTGGTTTTGTATTGGGATTCGAGTAAATATTCAGGAAGCCCAAATTATTTGGCTCCATTATACCCTATGGGGACTGTCCCCATAGGGTATAATGGAGAAGGGATTTAAAGTTTAAATGGTTGCTGAGTTGACTCATGGAGTCGTGCCACTGCGGGAGACCCAGCAGATGGTGGTGGCTCAGAAGCGGGATTTTTGAAGAGTGGCCAGGAGGGGGAGGGCAGGTTGGTAGCAGTGCCCTGGGTCTACCAGGACAGGTAGGGTTACAAAGGAAAGGAGGCAAAGAGAGGCCATGAAGAAACAGGGAGGTGACAGAGGCTGTGGGGGTCATGCTGGTGGGTCGACCCTAGGCGGTGGTAGAGGAAGGTCAGGAGGTGTGAGCAGTGAAAGAACAAGGTATCCAGCACCCTGGGAAGGTGCTTCTGCAGGGGGGAGAAGGTGAAAAGGGGCTTGCTTGTGATGGCAGTGGGGGGGGGGGGTGGGAAGCAGACCCCTGGATGTTAGAGAGGGTGCCTAGGGGCACCTTTTGGATTCTCAGTTGGGACTGCAGCACCCTGGAAAGGCGGGGTTTGACCCAGGGGAAGGAAGTGATCCATAAGGAAAAAGGGGTATGGAGGATTTAATGGAGGTTGTGGGGATCGTGCCAGCTGGCTGACCCTTGATGGTGGTAGAGGAAGGTCAGGAGGTGCTAGCAGTGAAAGAGTGGGGTCTCCAGCACCCCGAAAAGGCACTTTTGCAGGGGGGAGGAGAAAGGGGGGGGAGAATGCTCACAGTGGCAGCGAAGAGGGGGTCGAGTAGCAGACCCCTAGATGTTAGAGAGGGTGCCCAGGGGCACATTTTGGATACTCAGTTGGGACTGCAGCACCCCAGGAAGGTGGGGTTTGACCCAGAGAAAGGAAGGGATCCACAAGGAGAAAGTGGTATGGGGGATTTGCCGGTGTTTGCAGGGGTTGTGCTGGAGTCAACTCAGGGATTTAAAGATTAAATGTTTGCTGAGTTGACTCACAGAGTCAGACTCTGAGAGTCAACTCAGCAAGCATTTTAAACTTTGAATCCCTGACTCGCTGAGTCAAGCCGCAAGGCAACTCAGCCTTCTAGCCATGCCTGAATAAAAACCAAATAATTTCTGCATTTATTTGGTCGTGGCTATTTTAGTAGCTGAATACAGATCTCTGACCTGTATTTGGCTGAATAAATACCTGAAAAAGACCAATAAGGTATTTTTCGAGTATTTATTTGGCTCGGTATTTACTGACCGCACACCCCTACTTAGCATTATCTACTCTGACTGGAAGCATCTTTCCAGGGACTCAAGCACCAATCTTATATGTGACCTACTACTGCCTTTAATTGGAAATGCCAAAAGTGGGTGGAGACTGAGCAGCTGGCCCACCATCCTCACTTGCTTACCAAAGTAAGCTACCAGGAAGGGCAGTATCGTATCCATTCATATCTTTTAAATGGCTTTTGAATGAATCATTTGAAAAAAACGCATGCCCAATTGTGAAGGTGGTCTGCTGAAGGGGAAAAAAAGGACATTGGTAGAGATACTTATTTGATGTGAACTAGCTTAGCTTCTGATTCACACAATACAAGGTTTGCCATTACTACAAAATTTAATTATTTTATACCATTTTAATTCTAAGAGTTTCCTCAAAAGAATATGGGAGAGTGGTATTTGGTGATGCAAATTGGCTGCAAAAGATCACCTGGCCCCTCATGATGCTACTATTCCCAGAAGTATAGAGGACCATAATTTCCCTTTTATTTTACTTTTTACTTTAAAATCAATAAAAATAAATGGGTTGGATCCTATGGATCTGTTTGTCTAATGGTAAAGTTACTCTTCAGTGCAAGCCTCCTTGCACAGAGTGTTGGACTGGATGGGCCACTGGCCTAATCTAATATGGCTTCTCTTATGTTCTTATGAGTTTTTTAATTTTATTTTTATTTCGTTCATGATAATACAAAATAAGAAGCTACTTACATTACTAAATAAAGTTCAAAACAGACCCATACACACAACTAAACTTTTTTACTCGCAAATAATCCTTTCAACGTAATGTAGCAGTGGAGTTCAATATGCTTCGCAACTAACTAAAGGAATAAGCCTAACTATACGATCTCCCAAGTTTTCCTTAACCAATCCAGTTTACTTGGAAGATACTTTGTCTTCCAAAAACTAGCCAAGACCAGCCTTGCACCTGCTAACAAGTATTTAACCACTTCTTTTATTGATGCATCTAGCATATTAACATAATTCAGTAAAAAAACATCTCAGGGCCCTTAGGTAGTACTAGGAGTTCATGGGGTAGGCTTAAAGTAGCTCACCTCATTTCTCCAAGGTAGGGGACAGATGATAGTGCTGTGAGAGAGGATGTCATCGTGGTACCCCTTAGTATGTGGGGCCCCTCAGGGGGCAATCCTCTCCCCAATGTTGTTTATTTATTTATTTATTTTTCAGATTTATATCCCGCCCTCCCCGCTGGAGCAGGCTCAGGGCAGCTTACACGAGATAAAATACATAACAATCAAATTTATCATAAAACATTTCAAAACAGTTCATTAAAACCATATAATATTAAAGGGCTAGCTATGTTAATTTGGTATCATTGCAATGGCATTACCACATGCATGCAATCCATAAGTTGTTGTAGTGGGCAGCTCACTGATCTTCCTCAAGTGTGATTGGTGCGCACAGGCTGCTTAACATCTACATGTGTCCCTTCAACTGGTGTGGAGTTTCGGGCTGCCATGTCACCAGTATGCTGATGACACCCAGCTTTATCTGTTGATGGGCAGCCAGCCAAATACTGCCCCAGTAACTTTGGCTGAGGGGCTGGAGGCTGTGGTGGGATGGCTGAAACAGAGCCAGCTGAGACTATGGCAGGGAGATTCAGATACAGGGACCCTGAGGCGTGATTTTCTTTGGGGGGGGACTGTTTTTCCTTTAAACCACCCTCTTTGTATATAAACTTGGTAGTTCTTTGCTGCCACCAGGAATTAAAAAATCCAAATCTCTCTTTTGGTAGTGTGGCCCGGGGTCTGGGCACTTCAGAGGACTATGTGGCCCTGAGGAAGGACTGTACTGATTTCTGGGATATGTTTAAACAAAAATTGATTTATTGAATAAAGAACAAAATAGGTTTCTGGTTATCTTGAACTGTTATTGGAAAAGGAACTTGTAAATATAACTGAAAAGGTGTTACACACAGTCTCTCAGACACCAAAATTCCACGCTGACAGACTTCTCTCTCTCATATATGTAGCCACAGTGGCTAAGCTCTTTGTTTTAGGCACACAAGATAAAACATTTGTCTAACCCCACTGTGACGACCCCTTTACTGGGGAGGTCTGGTTTTACTTTAAAAGTGTTCCTTTTTATTTCTCTCTACTGGGTATTCTGGCTGCCACCAGGAAATTTAAGGCTTTCCAAACCTTTATAATATAATATCGATCACTGGGTAGGTAAGTCGAGGGTTTAAGGCGTTCATGAGGGTCTATGTGTTTCATGAGGGATTATTTCTTTCAGAACTGGCAGACTTGAATGAAATAGGATTTATTTAAGAGGGTAGAACAATGTAAACAATAATGTGAATGATTTGAACAATTGCTTGGTGTCTCTCACAAGCTTCTCCCTTCCTGACAGGGATGTTTCAAGTAACATTGTAACTCATTAACTCAGGGTCATAAATGTTTCTTGTTGCACTGCAGTCTGTCACTCAGACTGTCATTTAACTTTTCTTCTTCTCTGAACAACATCAACAGACAGCTTAACTGTTTTCACACAGAACTCCTTCTCACTTCTTTCATACACAGAGCTTAACTGATCTTCTGCTTCTCTCACAGAAATCAGAACTAAAACTGCTTAACTAACTCTCTCTAACTGTCTTCATCAACTGTCTAAACTGTAACTCTTGACTGACACACATTTTCTAAAACCCCTCCCCCTTTCTGCCAATCACCAATCACACTCACTTGCCTGTTTCATCCACCCTAGACTATCTCTCACCGCCATGCAACCAAACTTTTAAAGACACACACACACAGTTAAACATGAAATCATTACACACACACTTTAGACATACTTGTTTCTTTACCATATAGACTCTCTCACAAAACTTTTAGAGTCACACAGACTCTCTTCATAGCTCTTCCGCACTTCACTTTCCAAAGACATATACACAGAACTCTGTCATAAAAACACACACAGATTCCTCTCAGAACATCTCCTCCCACACACTCAGTCATCAGCCAATCAAATCACACTTGTCTCCCTCTATCACTCTTCTTACAGTACTGCAGTCAAACTCAACATTTAAAGACACACCCACCCCAAAACATGGAATCATTACAGACCCACGTATCTTCAAGACTGCCTCTCCCAGTATACCCCAAGAAAAGCATTGCACTCAGTAGATCAGAACTCAGTCATGGTCCTCAGCCTGAGGGATGTCTGTTTGTCCTTGATCAGACCTGGCTCCAACCTGGCGGAACTCTCTGCTGCATAATATCCATGCCCTGTGGGACTTGATGCAGTTCCACAGGGCCTGTAAGGCAGAGATGTTCCACTAGGCATTTGGATGAGGACAGCAACAGTCTCATCCTTCTGGCATTCCCACCCCCCACCCCCCACTGCAGCAGTGGCACTACTGAATTCTTTAGCGCCATCTCTTAGCAATTAGTGTGTTTTTATTGTTTTAATTTACTAGTAAATTTGATCAGTGAGCTCCTAGCCCTCAGTATGTATCCAGGCCCAATAAACAAGGTTGCAATTGGTTCACACATGTGCTAGGTCTGCCAACTGTAAACTGTTGTCTCCTGCAAATGATTTCTTCATTTTGTTTCTAACTACTTTGAATGACTGGTATTTCTCTCTGTTTTGATCAACTAACAAATCTTAAACCAAAAAGAAAGGGGGGGGGGCCCTGATGGACCATCTAGTCTAGCATCCCTTTGCCTCAGAGGGCCCACAGGAGGACACAAAGACCAAAGCCTCTGGCTGCCATTGGCATCCAGAAGTGTAATGCCTCCAAACACGGAAACTCATTTAGTCAACAACTACTGATGGACCTGTCCTCCATAAATCTGTTCCACCTCCCCCCTCTTTAAGCTATCTAAACTAGCCGTAAACACATTCTGTGGTAACAATCCCTCCTTCCTGCCCTGTTTTAATTTTAATGTTTTTGTACGTGTAGTTTAGGCTTGGTTATAATTACGTGTTTTAGTTTAGTTTTAATATTTTAAGGTATGTTTTTATTGTGTGTGTTTTTAATGTGTTAGCCACTTCCGTAGCCCTCGTAAAAGCAGAAAAGCAGAGTATAAATTTTGTAAATATACAAATAAAATCCCTAAATAAATAAAAACACTAGCTCTTTTGTACCTGATAGCTAATGAAACCAATTTAGTTGCTCTAGAATTCTCTGTGGAAGTCTAGAAGAGGAAGAATGAGTTGCCAGCCAAGAAGGGTAACTGGCTGTGCTATGGACACGATGTTCCCCAAGGTGACACACATAAAAACATTAAAACATTTGATCAATTAAAAACAACATTTAAAATTATAAAATAATTCAAAAGAAACAAGCAAGTTCGGTTTGCATTCAGCAAGCGTGGGTTAAGTTCAGTTCCAACATAGATCCAGCTGCCTTGGAAGTCTTTGGACCGAAAGGCAGTGTAAATGTTCTTTCAGTCTACAAGTGGAGAGATAAATGCTTCCTGGCTTTTACTGGAAGTCCCAAGACAGGTTCAAGAGTGTAAAGCAGCAACAGAATACCCACAATGCCTACATTTTGTCCCATAGTGATCTCTACTGTGGCAACACCATTAAGCCTTGTCAACTGAACTTAAAAGTTGCTTGAATCCTCCCTCTTCACATGATTCTGCCCGAATCAGTTAGACTTCAGCAGCTGATGTGCTAGATTAATATTGTGAGACAGATTTCTAAAGTTTCAGCTGTTTTGGGGCCCCACTTTCATGTTCCCTTTTCCACAGAAGACATATATAAATCTCAGGTTTTGCGGAAGTCTCTCACAGTTGAAGTATCTGTTCCACATTTCAAGTTTCTGAGTTGTATGGAAGTGTTCTGATTCCCCTCTCCCTCCCAGCATGCACATACAGGATAAAATAATGCCAACTAAATATTTTGACAAATTAACCCACCTTGTTTTTAATTAAGAAGTTATAGAGAGTCCAGACGTCCTGAAAGCTACTGTTTGGCATTAAAATTCTGAAAAGAAAAAAAACCCAAGATAAAAATAGGCACCAAAACTCCTCATTAAAAGTATTTTAATGTGAATATTCTAAGAGTTCAGGTTACCATTAAGTCTAAATATTAAGCATGATGTTATTAGCATGTAGGATCTGTTTGTCACTCTGCAAGCAGAGAGACTAGAAAGGTAAGGAAACGTCTTTAGTCATGGGTAGGGTAGGGTTTCAGCATGTACATGAAACCCCAGATGTATTTCAGCTCCCGTATCATAACCATTCCTCCAGCATGGCTCTCTTTGTGAGCATCCTTTACTACTTTCAACTGGATAAAAGACTCTTATTCCTGATTTAGGAAGAGCGAAATCCCAAGTATTTCAACTGAAATTTTGTTAACAGCCCAGGGGGATATACTTCAGTGTTGCGTTTCTTAGCCATACAAGGGTATCTGTGGCACCACCCATATTTCTATTCTTGATGCCACATATGACTTGCAAAAACATTCTAAATTTTGTTCTGGTCTTTGACTGTAATTAGTAATTCATTCATTCAAATACTCTAAATTGAACAAAAACAACAAGCTTCAGGAAAAAAGTGCAAATGGACTTCATTTGTACGTGATATGCAAATGTACAAGCATTTTGGGCATCAGTAAACAGAATTCTGAGGGTAGAATATATATTAAAGGCAACAAACATCTACAGCAGTCCATCACCAATGGGTAACAGTGGGAATCACTTCTTCAACAGTCTGCTCAAAGATTTCTATGCCTAAATTGCAGTCCAACATAAAGCTTATTTTTTAATTTCAATTAAGGGGGTGGACTGCTCAGAGGGGATAAGCCACACTGATATTTTCTGCTGTACCCCTAAATTGCCATTAGATGGCAGAAGACATTTATGTACCACTAATCTACAAGGTAGTACATAACATCTAGTTCCAGCTCCTACCAACCTAGCAGTTGGAAAGCAAGAAATTGCAAGTAGATAAATAGGTACCACTTCAGTGGGAAGGTAACAGCATTCCGTGCGCCTTGGTGTTTAGTCATGCCGGCCACATGACCACGGAAACGTCTTCTGACAGTGCTGGCTCTTCGGCTTTGAAACGGAGATGAGCACCGCAACCCTAGAGTCGGACTCGACTGGCTTTCGAGCAAGGGAACCTTTACCTTTAATCTACAAGGAACAAGTCTTTTTAAAAAGGATTAATCTATATGGGTAGCCAAGTTAGCCATTATCCAGCAAAATAAAAAAGGAGTCCAGCCAACACCTTAAGGAAATTTATTCTAGCACTGGCTTTCATGGACCAGATCTGATGAAGTTGAGCTGAGCTCAGACCGATGAAAGCTTACTCCTGCAACAGTTCGTTTTTAAGGTGCCCCGGACTAGTTTCACCTTTATGTATAACAAGCTCACAATCCGATCCACCAACCAATATGTTACTTCCAACATCTGTGTTTCTAGACAATTTTCCTTTCACATGCTACATCTCTGCACTATCTCATGTTAAGTGCTACAGTTGCTTCTCAGGCTGGGATCCTTCTGGCTTCTGCTGCCATTCCGAAGCCCACGGGATACTCAGAGAGGGCTCCAGACCCTGTTCCTGGCTTCTCCGTGCCCTTCTGGAGTGCCTGCCTCTTTTCCGCCTGCCTGTCTCAGACTCCTGCTGGCACTAGAGCCTCATAAGCTGCTCCCTGCTCAGGCTGGTGTGGCTTTTCAGGCTCTTGGGAGAGCTTTGGGACTACAAAACATTGCGTCAGTCCTTTGCTGGCCCAGTTACTGTTGCCAATGGGATTTGTATTAGAAGACATCTGTTTATATTTGAAACAAAACATTAGCCTCAGGCACATCACATCTTCTTGCCTTCAGAAATGTGAGTTCCACTACATTACAGTGAAGTTTCCTTTCATCGCAAAGCCCAAGAGTCTGCATTGAAAAGAAGATAGTTGCTAGCCAACAGGTCATAATAGAAGGACAACAGATATTTCCAGTGCCTGCAATTAACACATCACCACAGGCTACGTAATCACCAACACATAACTGAGACACTGCTATACTAAACCTCAGCAAGCATTCTATTGTGCTCAGTACACACACACACTTACTGCTGGATTCCTGCAAGAATTTCATTCACAGCTGCCATTAATTCCTGCAGGCCTAAGAAAGCTTCTTTGAACGACGGCCTGTACTGAACGGTGTCTATTGCACTGAGATCCAGCTTCTGGAAAACTTCAAGCCTAAGGAAGGCAAAAGGGTGAGACTGATTTTGAAGAAGCAAGGTACTACAATACAGACAAAGGGAGGGAAGGAAGGAGACAGACAAGCCTATTTCATTTGCTGAGAAAGGCCTGGTTGACCACCCAAGTTCTGCTCCCATTAATGTTCTGGTGAATAAGTTTACTACTGCAGTCACAGTAGGGCTGCTTCTTTGACAATTTTATTTTGTGCTTGTTTATGCAAGGTATGTATAGGACATACCTTGCATATATGTATATGTATAGGACACACATATAATTAAAACATGGAGGATTCCCCCTCCCGATAGTATTGTGGGTCCCCACTTGTTGTTATATATCATTAAAGACCATGGTGGCAATTTGTGCATCACAGTCCCCTGTTCCATGGTACTTCCCTTGCCATCAAATCCTATGCTAGACTGGAGGTTGCTGCACAGCTGTTTTTTAGGTTTTCACAAAGGTCAAACAACTGGTTCACTTCAACATCACATGGTGCCTTATATATATGAAGTAGTACGATACATATGTGAAACTCCTATTTCCTCAGAACACATAGTGCTTTTAATGGGGTCAGTTCACATAGCTGCACATCAGCAAAGGGTGCCCAGAGCTGGTGTAGTATAGTGGTTAAGAGAATGAGCTGTGATTCAACAGATCAGTGATTGAAATCTCATCTCAGCAAAAGGGCCTTAGGCAAGCCATTTTCTCTGACTCATACACCACACTCTGCAAAACGGAGATAAACACTGGCGCTAAATTTCAGGTCTGCTGTAAGAGAAAACCAGGATATTTCAAACACATGTTGAACACCACAAAAGCTATATTCTGAAAACCATAAGTATTTATTTATTTATTTGATTTTTATCCCGCCCTCCCCACCGAGGCAGGCTCAGGGCGGCTTACATAAGACAACAATAGATAAAACAACAATATAAATGTCAATATAAAATACATGTTAGAGTATTAAAACCATTACCACAACAATGGTGATATGATGGTAAAGATAGTAAAGTATCATCATTAATATATGCACAGCTGGAATCAACTGTAAGATTTTTTGCACTGACCTTTAAGGTGTAAAATTTAAACAGGGCTTGCAATCATACAGGTAAACCCAGACGTTTGCTGCTGCATTCTGCATGCTTTGGGGCAAACCCATAATGGGAGAAGTAGCCCCAAGGCTTGCAAAGTGAAGAAGGATGTGAAAAATTAGAACAAGCATACGATGACACCCAGTGGTTAGGAACAGCCCTAATCAGAAATGATGGCCATCCATCCCTACTTAAAATTATTTTCAGACTGCTGGTGTTGCCACTACATGCAGAATTATTATTTACAGAGTGCTACTGGTGCACACAGCGCCTTAGAGAAGGACACAAGCGTAACAAAAGAAATTGAACAAAGAGGAGCCTGCCACAAGAAGTTTACACCTTCAATAGTGACCTGCAGAAAGTGTGGGGAAGAGCACAAAAGGTGAGGTTTAGGAGCGTTGCTGTAATCAAATTATAGGTAAGCTTAACAAAAGCCAGGCCCATGGACACTGGAAGAAAAAAAAGGTCTATTACCTGTATAGGTTCATTGTGTTCCAGACACTTTCAAGGACAGACCAGATTTCTTGGCGCCTATTTCCCTGAGCCAGTGGCTCTGTTGGTAGTGACTCGGTTCTTGCCTCAGTATGTTGAGTTAAAGTCATATCTTCCATTTTTTCACAGGTAGCTTCTGAAGAATTCTGTCCAGTACCTGTCTTAATCTTGGGGGGAAATGAGCAAGCAAGCGGTAAATGTACTGGGTCAGAAGAGATTAACAATACTGCTATGGTAAAATTCATAGCAGAGACGTCCAAAGCAAAGACTCTAAAAGAAAAGGTTTCACCCAATACTTGTGTGCCAAGAACAGCTCATTCTCTTAAAAATATGTAATGCTTTGATGAAGCATTAACTTCTGTTAGTCAAGGGAGAAAGATGTGTACCTGTTTATAGTTGTGAGGCAGCTACTATAGCATGAGCTTCCCTTAATACTGAAAATATCACACACAAGTCACAAAGTTAACAGATTTACACTCAGCTTGAAAGAGCTGAACCTTTAAAAGGAACTACATGCCTCCAAGCATCCTCTGACATTTTGCTTATGAAAGGTTCATTACTGTTGGTTTTAAATAACTCACAAAGCAGCTGGGGGGGGGGGTGTGGGAAAAAAACAGGGGTTTTAAATAAAATAACTTCCACCCCAGACACGGTGTGTGTGTGTGTGGGGGGGGGACACAGAGGAGGAGAGGCTCCAGCAAACTCCACACATTCCATAAAGAATTACAGTCACGTGGGGAACCTGGCAATAATTTCACTGCAACCAAAGCTAAAAACGTCCCATCCAGGAGCACATGGGACAGCATCCAAGCAGCCTCTCATAGTGGTGCAATAAGTGTCGCCTGCCTGCTTTTTCTTTTTGGTATTCTTTTTTTGTTCATATGTGCATGTGTGTGTCAGTGCGTCCTCATGGCAACCTCTAGTGACTGACCCTCTACTGGGGGCCTGGAGGATATTCAGAGAGGTGGCTGAATAAAGCCTGCCCCAATCTCCTCACTGTTCTTATTCCAAGGACGACTCCTATCCAGGTACTTGCCAGAGTCAACCCTGCTTAGCTTCCGAGATCTGATGAGATCGGGCTATCCGTGTCAGGGCTGGCCTGTCTGCTTTTGTTCAGTCCATCTGCTGGGAGAAACTGGCAGCAAAGAAGAGGTATTCAGAGAAAGCAACTCATGATGCCACAGCCAGCCGTTCACTTTGGTTCCTTATGGACGAAGCTCAGAATAATGCCAAACCATCCTCTTATTTGGATTCTCTCTGGTGCGGCTTCTTTTTTGGCAAACCACAGCGTCCTATACCATCCAAACCAGGCAAGCTCTGGCTTTACCAGTTCGGCTGCAACAGCAAATGCTCACTAACTTGCAAGTACAATCGCTGTATTAACAGGAGGCTCAAGAGGGGACCTAAGACGGGAGAAGAGGGCACGCACAAACCCAGAGCTTAGACATTAAAATAGTTTGCTGTTAGGTGTGAGCTGAACTTATGTCGAAAGCATTTCTAACCTTCTTGAGAGTCTCACATAGTTTATTCACTGAAGCAAAGGCCTGTGGAAGGGCACCATCATAGTTTGATCTTAAGCTGAACATCTCCAACAACATTTTGGTTTCCTGAAGCACCTGCTCGGTCGTCGCATGGCTAATCTTTTCAGCTGAGGTCGCTAAAGAGAAGAAATGACAGAAGGTGATCAGGGAGTGAAAAGCAAACATAACCACAAAGTACTGTATTTTTCGGACCATAAGACGCACCTGACCTTAAGACGCACCTAGTTTTTAAAGGAGGAAAACAGGGGAAAAAATATTCTGAACCTTCGGTCCATAAGACGCACTCACTTTTCCTCCCACTTTTTTGGGAAGAAAAAGTGAGTCTTATGGTCCAAAAAATACGGTAATTCTCAGATGAGTTACATATAACCGCCGCTTCAAGAGCAGCAATACAAAAGTAAGACACTCAACGCTGCTTTCCCACTAACTGCATGCAGCGATTCCCAGCATAGCATTGCCAATGTATTTCCTGGAGCCTTTTTACTTCGACAATGCATCTCTCTCCAAAGCAAGAAGCCAGCCCTGGCTTTCCTCCACCACGACAGTGTAGAAGGTTCTTAACAACCAAGGAGGCATCACTTTTGGGTCTGCAGAGAGCACCCATTCACAGCTGCAGCTTCCTCCATGCCTGGCTTCCAACCTTCTCACTGGCCCCAACACCCCATGGCAGCCATTTTGTGGTGGTGTCTACTTCCCTTTCCCCAAATTCCAGAAGTTACCACAGGATCAACAGAGACTGGGGACCCCAATCTAATACATGCCCAAATCTCATAGAGATCCTGGGCTTAACAGAGCCTCCTACTTTAATGACCTGCTAATCACCACATGCTAGCTACAACCATTTTTAGGAGGTGGGGCTTGGAATCCCTTGTTTGATGAACCTGATAAGCCATCCAGTAGGAGTTGCGTCTTGCATGCCCTTCCATTCTTGAGCACCAGCCAAACATGCGCCAAGATAGGAGGGGAGAAGTTTTTTCCTGGCTGCTGATACCAGAATACTGAACCGGGAAATCTAGTGTACCTAGTAGTGAGCCCAACTCTGGGGCCAAAGCTTTAACTGCCATCTTGAAGGCACATTACACATTTCAGAAAGCTGAACCATCTCAAGAACTCAGGCTACTGAACTGAATCAAACAGCAGGAAACACAAAGCCATTAAGGCACAAGGTATTATGATGAAAATCTAGTGGAGACGCAGTGGACAGAGCACTGAACTTCAGCCAGGGTCCAAGCCCTTGCTTTATTATGAAGGAAGAGGCAGAACAGAGTAAGTTTACTACCCCTCCCCTCTGCAGCTCCCCTACCTGCATTCACTATCTCCAGAATCTACACAACAGCAGGTAGGACTAAAACATAGTTAAGTCAGTGTTAGACATGCAGTGTACAGGTGGAATCTGCTGAGTGTTAGACATGCAGTGTACAGGTGGAATCTGTTGAGCCATCAGTAGGTACCTGTCATGAAAGGGTGCCTTCCCTATATTGATCAATCTGACATTTGCTCTGTTGTAGAATCCCAAGGCAATAGTCCTTTTACTGTTTGTACTATCTAAGCAGGAAGAATAACAATTGCTCAAGCCAAAAAATGTTATCACCTGCACATCAAAGGTAAAGGTAAAGGGTTTCCCTTGCTCGAAAGCCAGTCGAATCCGACTCTAGGGTTGCGGTGCTCATCTCCGTTTCAAAGCCGAAGAGCCAGCGCTGTCCGAAGACATTTCCGTGGTCATGTGGCCGGCATGACTAAACACCAAGGCTGTTGCCTTCCAACTGAAGTGGTACCTATTTATCTACTTGCAATTTCTTGCTTTCGAACTGCTAGGCTGGCAGGAGCTGGAACTAGAGACGGGAGCTCACTCTGTCATGCGGCACACTCGGGTCTCAAACTGCTGAACTACCGACCTTCCACAGCCTGCAGTTCAGCATCTTAACCACTTGAGCCACTGTCAAAGTGAACTGCTTAACTGCTCTCAGTTGGGTATCACCTGCATATAGAGGCAATTGCTTAACTGCTCTCAGTTGGGGTATCACCTACATATCAAAGTGAACTGCTTAAGTACTCTCAGTTGGGAGGGGGAAACCTTATTCCAAAAGCATTGAGAAGCATGTGGTGGATCATGTTAGAGATTGGCTTAAACTGGTCAAGAGGGCAGTTGCCCAGGTGCTCTATAAAATAACACCAGAAAAATGAATGTTTTTGCATGTACATTAGCCTGCCTCAAGGAGTCCTTTTACCAGGATGGCCCATTTCCACCATCAGGAAGGGGCCCCCAGGAATCTTGCACTGCACCAACCTAATGCTGCTGTAACTTACATGTCTCCAAGTACATGAATGTATGTAGAAAGCTAGATTTGTTATTTTATAGCACCAACTTACTTTTCTTGCTTAAAGGCTGAACTGTTTTTCTAATCTCTTTTAATAAAATTTGTTGCTTTAACTGGCGTGTTCTACAAGCCTAGACTCTGTACTTTATCAAAGAGGGGATTTATCCCAGGATTCCAGGAAAGGAACGGGGTGTGTGAGTGTGTGTGTGTCAAATCACCTCAAACAAGGCCTGACTGGGTCAGGAGAACCCTGGGTCTTGTAATACCCTTCTATATCAGGAGTGCATTTCCCAAGACCACCTCCAATTTTCATTCAACAAAGCTTGTAACCAGTCTGAAAACTGTTTTATGACTTCTGCAGAATAACTTGGATTTTAGTATTTTTTAGGTGCTGGGAATTCCTGGAGACATATCGCTCCCTCACAGAACCACAGTTCTGAGTATCCGAGGTGGGAAAGGCATCATAAACAAAACCACTCAGTTCTCACTTATACCCAGAAATTAAACTTTGTTGGTCCTAAAGGTGCCACTGGACTCAAACTTAGTTCTCACACCTGCTATTAACTTCTTTATTACCTGTATGCCAATTTGCTGGTATTTACATGTCTTACCAAACATGTTGTTCCAATCTTAGCTGTATTTATTGCTTGGTTACTTATGCATCTGGACTCTAATTAGCTCTTCCTGGCAACCAACCCTTTCCACCTGTATGTAATATCTGAGGAAATCTGTTTCAGTGTGTTTGAAGAAGTGTGCATCTACACATGCAGAGGCTCTCTGTTCATGCATGTGCCCAGGGTTGAGCTTGGTGTAGTGGTTAAGTGCGCGGAGTCTAATCTGGGAGAACCGGGTTTGATTCCCCACTCTTTCACTTGCAGCTGCTGGATGACCTTGGTCAAGCCATAGCTCTGTCAGAGGTGTTCTTGAAAAAGAGCAGTTTCTGTCAGAGCTCTCTCAGCCCCACCTACCTCACAAGGAGTCTGTTGTGGGGAGGGGAAGGGAAAGGAGTTTGTAAGTCGCTCTGAGACTCTGAGTGAAGGGCGGGGTATAAATCCAATCTCTTCTTCTTCTTCTTTTTGGTTGGTCTTGGGGGTGCCTTCGTTCTTAAATCTGTCTGTTAGCTCTCAACATCTGTGCGTTAATTTGCTGCCGCTCATTCATCTTACCACCACTTTTATACAATCTCAGCTTCATTCATGCATCTTGGCTCTGACTGGCCCTTCCTGATGGCGGGCCCCCCATCTTCCTGTATGTAGGGCTTGAGGAAATTCTGTTTCACTATATCTGAGGAAGTGTGTATGCACACGGAAGCTTATACCTTGAATAAAACTTTGTTGGTCTTAAAGGTGCCATTAGACTCAAACTTTGTTCCGCTGCTTCAGACCAACATGGCTACATGCCTGTATGCCAATTTAGGTATTTTAAACATGTCTTTTGATTCAGACTTTTAAGTATAAAATACACAGCATTCCCACGAGTCAATGCAAACATTCCTACCTTTACAGAGATGTGTTGATAAATATTCAATGGTTGAAAGAAAGCTTCTTGGTATGATCTGTCCAAAAACAGCTATCCAGTGTTTTTTGTAACACTCTAGTAGGTCTGCTAAAGTCCATGGAGGCGTACGATACACTACCTATAAAAGAAGAAATTAAAACTTGGTGATAAGATTTGCATTTCTGGAATTGAGTCAGATATTGTGTCAGAACCCTGTTACTAAGGTAACAGTGATTCTCTCCTCCTGCCTCACTGCAGGGAAATACAATCAAGGATGCCCCTTTCGGGAATGGACCACCAAGCAGCATAGATGCCTCCTCTTCCAACAGAAATTACATTGTAGAGACCAGAATTATACTATCCCTAAAATATTTTGGAATAGGTAATCGAAACATCCAGTGTTGCCCATTACCTGAAATCCTTGAGGTATCATGGAAATGCTTGGATTTACACCATCTCGTATTTATTTATTAACATATTTAAATCTAGGTTTTCCTCATGGCTCAAGGTGTCTTACAAGTCACAACCAAGACTTTACAATGTAAAACCAATAGAATACAACCCCAGATACCCACCTCTCCCCACCCAAAAAAGATGCTTGAAGGTTTTACCCTCCCCCCCCCTTTACAAAGATTGGGGAATGTATTGATAAGAAGTTACAGGCACATAGGACTGGAGTACCCTGTACCAAAAAGAAATGTGTCAGAGCCACAATTCCTTGAGAAGAAGAAAAAAAGAGCAGAATGTGACACTAAATCCAGAATTCATCTTCCTGATAATCTTGACTTTCATTCAAAGCTGCAAGGTATAGCTTGATAGTGTTGTGGGTAACACATGTTGAAATCTAAGCAGCTAAAAAGGATGGTTAACATTCCCAGTGGCTGGAGCAGGGGCTTGCTAGTAACAGGGATGGGCAGGGCACTCACTAGTGAAACGAAGAAATATTCTCAATAGCACGTTTAAATTATCCACAATGAAATACATTTTACAATCTTTCCCATTCTACTTCACGCTGTGCGGGCTGCTGAATTCAGTTTTTCTTACAGAAGATTTTAGATAAAAGACAAAAGAACTTGTCTCAGCACACACAGTTCATTTTGCAGCACAGACTTCTCTATAGGTAAATCTAGATGAAGACAGCTGATCAACGCTTACATTTTAGCACTTTAACAGCGTTAGAGATTCCCTACTTTGGAAAGATTTAGTTTTCATGGGAGCATAGCCAGAACTCTCCCTGATGCAGTTCTACAGAACCCAGGTGGTTGAAGCCAAGTAATATCCAGCTTCAAACTCTTTTTAAAAAAAATGTGCTTTGGAGAGCAGATGCTATGTGCACCTTGCTAGTTGTAATGGTAAACTACAGGGCTCCATAAAATAAGCAGTCAGGGAGAGAATCAGAGTGCACAATGGGAGGGGGAAAGCACACATGCCTAAGTCTCAGTCATTAACAACAAACTGTGGTCTGGCATTAAGTCTGAATCAGTTCACTGCCATCAGCATACAACATGCATTGCAAAATCATCAAAAGCAAGAAAGATGAGTCCCTGCCCTGAGGAACTTACACTAAAGATCAAACATCTTAGATTTAACTTTCTGGATTCAAGTAGATGCTTGCCACTTGCCCTGTTTTGCTAGAACTGATGTGAACTACTAATAAAATATACATGTACTTTTAACAGTTCTCTATAGCTAAGCTGTAATAGTAATATCTGTTAACATTATAGTTTCATTTTTAATCATGTTTATTTTGTTTGCATACTAAAAGGTAATCACCTCTGTCCACAAGTCTTCATAAGCAATCTTCATTTCTGTTTGCAATATAGATGACAAAACTTCTCCCAAGCTTTTTTCAAGGTCACAAATAATGCCTGAAAGAGGGTCAGTAGACCTCTCTCTAAGGTTCTGGGGCTCTGCATCTGTTAAGCAAGTACAATGGATATTAAGCTTATTCAGCTGAATGTATTCACAGTGCAGGTAAGACAATGGATTATTACATTCCATTCATAGCCTCTGGTCATGACTACACTGCCATCAATGCTGGTTTGCTTTAAAGATTCTTTTTTGGAAATCAGTTATCTACAGAAATACCAGTTGTCTGGGAGAAAAACAGGCTTAGCAACGTTTTAAATAAAAATGGATGCTCATACAGTTTCTAATATGCTGCTAAGCGAAAAATAACCGAATTCTGAATAATGCACATAAAATCCTGTAATAGTACAAGGAATAGCTCGTGCCATAGAACTAGTGTTAGGACCCAAATGTCGTTTCATGCAGTACTTTGGTACTGTGGTAGAAAAGAGCAAGATTCCAGTAGCACCTTAAAGACTAACAAAATATGTGGCAGGGAATGAGCTTTTGTGAGTCACTGCTCACTTCTTCAGATAATTTTGGTACAGTTTCTTCATCTTACTCTTCAAAATGGACATGGAGGCTAGGGGTGATGCTCCACCAGCTATTACACAGTACGGAATGGGAAGAGAAGTTTCTGCAGTAGCCACAATGCTCTATTACAGTGCTTAGGTTGTCCTTCCGTTACAGCTGCAGTGGAATTAATTACTTGCTCTTCTGTAGACAGGGCTGCTTTTTCTTTCTGTTCTCTGAGGCTGCATGCTATACAGTTGGTAAGTGCTGTTATGTCCTGTCCTTTGCCCTTATATAAGCCCTCAGGAGGCATAATGGATATTATGTACATCTAATACCAAAGTGGCTGGCCACTGTGGCATTTGGAAAAGCAGCAAAACCAAGCCACCCCACAGGCAAAGTGGAGGGTCTCTCCATACTTGGGGCACAATCCAGAGTTCCCTCTAAGCTGAGTTAGTGTGAGCTAGCTCACAGTTTTTTAGCCTCCAGCTCACAGATTTTTGTCTTAGCTCAGGAAGGATGGCTCCAGAGCAAACTAGTTTATGCAGTAGCCAAATCACCTGCTCACAACTTTAATGCCAGTAGCTCACAAAGTAGAATCTTTGCTCAACGAACTCCATAGCTTAGAGGGAACATTGATCCAGATATGCAGAAAAATGTAATCTTGTAAATTAACCAAAACAAGGTAGCCTGATGAGGAATGAACATATTCCAGGAGGCATAAAATGTTGGCAGCAGCCAAGCATTAGTTCAAGGGGGAGGTGGGGGAGAATCAACATGTTTAAGCCCCTAAGAGCTTACAGAATCTTGGAGGAGGAGGAGTTTGGAAGGGATGCAGTAAAATTTCTAAACTTTTCCCTTCTCTTATAATTTCTAAAGAATCCCCAGCTTACGTCAGCAAAGTCTATGAATTCTATCCCTTGTGCGCTAACATCTGGTAGAATTATTAGCACTGTAGGAAACAATGAAGGTTAGTGGGTGGACAGACATTTTCATCCCATACATAAAGTTTCCAGACACCCGCCCCCCACACCGAAAGGGTTGTTTGCAAACTAAAATATTAGTCAGTTCAGACTGTTTTGGCACTTAAACAATGGGCTAAGAAAAACGAACCTTTTCCTGATTGCAACCGAGTGCTGCAAGCGGCACTATTTACAGCCACCTTCTGGAGGGCAGTAACCAGCTCTGCTTTCCTAAGCGCCTTTACTTCACTCACGAGGGCCTTATTGCACAAGTTTTTATCATCCCTGTGGAAAGAAAACTGCTTTTGTTTTGTGTTCTTGGAATGGGAAGGAAGACAAACACTGTTTCATCCTGTGGTAGATGTGAGCCAATGTCTATTATGATGACTTGCTCTGCATACACTTGAATCCATTTAAAGAAAGAACTTCTACAGAATCAACATGAGTTGCCATTGACAAATCCCTGTTCTTTACACAATACACATTTCTCTGCACTCTGCGAGAGACAGGGAGGATGTGCACAAGTCATGTACTTCGTTAGCGACCTGTTCAGATTCTCCAAAGATGAGCAGAGTCCCAAATTCTATTCCGAAATCACTTTATTTTAGTTTTATACAGGGTTATACATTTTCAGAGCAGTTCACAAAGCAATCATAAAAATTAAAAATGTATCTACATAATCTTTAAAAATTCTATGGAAATAAAGACACGGAAGTCAGCAACAGATGTATCCTCAGACCTTCAGCTCATTTAACACCAAAGTCCTAGTGGAAAAGAGTAGTTTTACCCGCTTGGAAAATGATGCCAATGAAGGGGATAAATTCCTCCCAGAGAAGCCAATTCCTCTCAGCAACCAGTGAAAATGCCCTGCTGCTGCTGAATGCTAATCTTGTGCCCATTCTAAATGGACACCCTCAACAGTGCCTCATTGGCAGATTGAGTAGAAGGATTCATATGGAAGCAAGCACTCTCCAAGGTCCTTTGGGTCTGGACTGTCTCAAACTTTAAAAGGTCAAAAAGTAGAACCTTCAATTGTGCCTAGAAAGATACTGATAAATAATACAATTGCTGAAACAATGGTCTTGTGTGCTCATTTCTGCTTACCTCCCAACATCTGGTTGAAAGTTAATTGAAACAGAACAAGATAATCACTGTCATTCAAAAGAAACCGCAGCTGATCCTCCAACAACTTGTCCAAAACAGCAAGCTAGGTCTATCACTATTTAGATAAGCTGGATCTAAGCTGGATTTCCCCCCAGCTACAGCATGACCACCATTTCCTTTAAAACAGAGAGTGATAATGATAAACTTACCATTTAACTGACCAAATTCATAAGCACCTTGTAGCTCATGGTATCAACAAGGATCCAGTGGGCAAGTAGCAGATTGGACCTATTCAACTGGTTTGATGACAGCCTCCAGTGAAGTCAACTGAAACTCAAACCAAGCAATTGCAACTAGCACAGTCCGTGACTTCTAGCTACAGGTCTTCTACCAATATGGAGTTGTACCATCCTGTTCTGAGGGTGTAGCCTCATGCACAGCACTGCCTCTCAGGGGGGTGTCACAGGGAAGGGGTCATACCAGCACCCACCAATCCCCTCTTGCCATCGCTTCAAGCTCCAGGGATAACAACTTAGCTGTCACTACTAAGGCTTTCACCTATAGAAGGGGGGTACATCTTGGTGATTCTCCTTCCCCAGGTTTGTACAAGAAAGATTCGGAATTCTTTGGGCTCTCTTTCTGTATAGATTGTGCCATGCAGCAGACCTGGAACTGTCATAAGCAAGACAAACCGTACACCTGTCAAAGCCCTCCTCTTAATACAGCAATGGGGATAAAACCAGGAATTTAAAAAAGCAGCCAGGACAACTTAATATAGATATTTATTTATTTATTTATTAGATTTATACCCTGCCCTCCCCAAACGGGGTTTGGAAGAACTCAAGCACTGAATAATGATGAGCAGTAATAACATCATTTTGATAGACTTTGCAGAGCTGCTGGCAATGGCTAATATTAGGCCGGGCCTTCACCCAAATTTGTAAACTTCGATACTGTTTTCTAAAGAGACAGGAGCATTCTTGGACTGAGTACAGAAGAACAAATGGTCTGTGTGTTTCAACAAACAAAAAGCTTATCTGCTGGCTTGCTAACACATAACTAGGCTAGAAACATACAAGAATAGAATAAACCTGTGCATAGAAACATGCTGAAGACTAAAATCATTGTTCGGTGGCAGTTGTGTTGAAGGCCACAGTAACATTTGCTTGTTAGGCATGGGGAAGATAAGGGAACAGAGGGAACTTGTGAGAGGCCCAAAGAAGGGTGAAGAAGATGTATTCTCTTCTACATGATACTCTTATCAGTAGTTCTATAACAAATTGTATAGTGCGCATGTTTGATTACATACTATAAAAGCTAACGCCATGATGTCTTGATCAAACCCTTTTGGCTGTTTTCTGCTGGTGTCACCTCTATTCAAATGAAGTTCCACTCTTCTTGGAAGGAATTTCTCCTGTTGTATTTTTATTGGAGTGAGTCACACCAGGTAAACGGCCTGTTTGGCTTTCATAAAATCAAGGTGGTAAAGCTACAAAGAGGTCAATCAAAAGAACATATTACCCCTGACACATCTAGCTACCCATTGTTATGATTCGTGCTACCATCTCTCCTCTACTTGAAAAGGAAAGGAAACCAAAATCAACTCTGGTGTTTCTAATCAAGCCTCTAGCAACTGAATAAAAATGAACAGGATTCTTTCCTCCAACTGTCATCAGTTTTCCTTGGCAACAGAATCTTCACTGGCTACATCCTCTATTTATGAAAATAAAAAGGCAAAGGTTTCCCTTGCTCGAAAGCCAGTTGAATCCGACTCTAGAGAGCAGTGCTCATCTCCGTTTCCAAGCCAAAGAGCCAGCACTGTCCGAAGACATTTCCATAGTCATGTGGCCAGCATGACTAAATGCCCAGGCACACAGAACACTGTTACCTTCCCACCAAAGTGGTACCTATTTATCTACTTGCAATTTCTTGCTTTCAAACTGCTAGGTTGGCAGGAGCTGGGGCCAGAGACAGGAGCTCACTCCGTCATAGAGCACTAGGGTCTTGAACTGCCGAACTACAGACCTTCCAGTCTGCAGCTCAGCCAGCGTCTTAACCTCTGAGCCACCGTGGCCCCATTCATGACAATAGTCTAAAACAAAATGTGAGCAATCTGCAAAATACTTTGCAGACAGGTCTACTTTTTGATATTTGTTTAGATTATATTCTATAAGCTTTATAATGGACCTATAGGTGGGTACAGGCCATTTATTTTTATTTGACAGGATTATATTTAACAATCTTGCTCACAGCAAGTACTTGGATCTTAATTATACTTTATTTTGGTTATTCGTTAATTTCACACTTTCTCAGCCTAACCTACATCACTAGGTTGTTATGAGGATAAAACAGAGGAGAGAAAGATATAAGACTAGGGATGGGCACGAACCGTAAAACGAGCTGAATTTTTACTCAAACCAGGCTGGTTTGTGGTCTGGTTTGACTTGGTTCGTTTGGTTGTGCTGTTGCCGAACCAACAGCGAACCACCATTTTTCCCATGGAGATTCAGGTGGTTTGTTAGAGCGGTTTGATGGCCAAACAGACTGGCACTGATTCAATCAATTCCTAGGCAACACTGGAGGTGGACTTGTGGAGAGCTCTAGTTAAGGAACACATGGTTCTCCTTGGCATTCAAAAAGATTGCCCCAACAGTCCTAAAGGAACCACCAGCTTTTCAGATAAGGAGCAGCTTAGACCTTGAGAGATTTGTCTCATGGTCACTGACATACATCACATAAATATTCTTAAAAGGTGTGTGTGTGTGTGTGTGTAGGAAGAACTACTTTTCTGTATCTCAAAACAGCTCTCCAATTGGAAAACAAATGTGTAATTTTCACAGGACTTACGTCAGTAATACAACTTCGGCTTGAGGGAAGAGTTTCTGGTACTGCAGGCAGCATTGCAACACACGATCATCATTGTTCTCAATACTGAAGCCATCTATAAATTCAACAAAAATAGATCAGTATGTTCTAAAAGTAGCTGGGTGATTAATATAGACGAATATATTTGAGGAGCTCTAGAAAATCAGATAATACTTTGTCCCTGCGTTCCCCTTCTTGCATTATTATGAAGACACCATATTCAGAAACAACAGAAACCACCCAATTCATTCAGAGTTGTTCCTACGATTAGAAAAATGGTGGAAGGAATATGCAAGCCTGAATCATACATGTAGTCCCTCCCAAGGTAAACTCTGTGAGCACCGCTTGAAAAAGCACAGAATCCTTTTTGTTGCAGAATTTTCTTCATGGAATCATTGCCAAGCTTTAGTCTTATGTGTACTAGGAATCCCTACAAAGGCACATTTGTCAGACTTTGCTACCAAGTGAGTATTAGCAAGTAAGAATCCCTTCTATGAGATCAGGAAGGGTAGCATTTTTTTTTTCAGCGTCATCAACATGCCACAAATGTAGCTGTAGAACAGTACAACAGGAACTTTGAGGGATCTGTTTTACAAGACTAGTGTCTTTTTTTCAATTCTCGTGGATCTTTCTCCATACTGTTACATATCCAAAATGGTTTGCATGGAGCAAATATAACCCAAAAGACCCTGGAAATGAACCACTTAATTCTGTCCAAGTTTACTCAGAAGCATCCTCCTTATTTCCCAGTGACAGTTTAGAATTGCTGTTATGAAGCTGCACAGTTAGAAAGTTAAGCATAAATCTTATCAGATTTCCTCTTAATCATTCAATAACCATGAGCTCATAAATGAATAAGACTAAAGAAATGGCTGATCTTCACAGTTGTATCTACACTCGAGTGAGATGCTCCAACACTAGTTTTATGATGTTCTTGTTGCAGCTGTTCCCTCTTCTGGATCTTCTGTAGTATTAGAAACAAAATGCAGACTCATGCATTTGCCGGCTTCCCCCTTGCATGCCCTTTCAATTTTCTGTTTAGTGATAACCCATGGCTTGCCTTGGTGCCCCAACTGGTAGACAATGTAGCAAAATCAGAAATGCACTTTTGTGGATACTGATTTGAAGGGCCAGCACTAATCGTTTGCCAATCCAGACATCATGGTGAATAGGCTTGGTTATGGGTCTGAAACAGCCTTGGTCACCCTAGTGGATGACCTGCACTGGGAGATGAACACAGACTCCCTGTTGATTGTCCTGGACTTCTCAGTGGCTTTTGATACCAACAAACATCTGGATCCCCTTTCTGAGCTAGGCGTGAAGATATATAGATTAGAAACAAAATGCAGACTCATGCATTTGCTGGCTCCCCCCTTGGATGCCCTTTCAATTTTCTGTTTAGTGATAACCCATGGCTTGCCTTGGTGCCCCAACTGGTAGACAATGTAGCAAAATCAGAAATGCACTTTTGTGGATACTGATTTGAAGGGCCAGCACTAATCATTTGCCAATCCAAACATCATGGTGAATAAATGGAAAACACAGAGAGAAGCCACATGTGCAAGAGAGGAGGAAATACACAAACACCTTCACTGAATATGTCCCAATTTCAATGGCACTTTCCCAAGTGTCTAGAGAATTGCCACCAAAAAATTTCAAAGATTTAACAGTTAGTTACTTTACAGATGTCTATGCCATCTTTTTCCCCAGAATGGGATCAAGAAGGCTGGACAGCTTCAAGCTTTCCTGGATGAAGTGAATTATTTTCCAGCCTGGGATTAGGCTTGGTTATGGGTCTGAAACAGCCTTGGTCACCCTAGTGGATGACCTGCACTGGGAGATGAACAGAGACTCCCTGTTGATTGTCCTGGACTTCTCAGTAGCTTTTGATACCAACAAACTTCTGGATCCCCTTTCTGAGCTAGGCGTGAGAGGCACTGTTCTGTGATGGTCCCAATCCTATCTGGAGGGCAGGTTTCAGAAGGTGGTAGCTGAGGGGCTACTCAGCCCCTTGGCCTACAAGATCCCACAAGATTCCATCTTGCCCCCTGCACTCTTTGATATCTACATGAAGCCATTGGGTGAGGACAACTGGAAACTGGGCTAGGTTGTCAACAATACATGCAGATGACATCTGGCTCTATTTTGCAATTCCAGCTGATCCCAGGGAGGCTGCAGAAATCCTAAACCAGTACCTGGAGGCAGTTTTGGAGTGGAAGTGGGTTAATAAAAGTAAAGGTAAAGGTTCCCTTGCTCGAAAGCCAGTCGAATCCGACTCTAGGGTTGCGGTGCTCATCTCCGTTTCAAAGCCGAAGAGCCAGCGCTGTCCGAAGACGTTTCCGTGGTCATGTGGCCGGCATGACTAAACAGCAAGGCGCACGGAACGCTGTTACCTTCCCACCGAAGTGGTACCTATTTATCTACTTGCAATTTCTTGCTTTCGAACTGCTAGGTTGGCAGTTAATAAACTGAGGCTTAATCCCAACGACAGAAGTGCTACTCGTGGGCAGAAGGTCTGACTTGGGGTTTAAGGTGTCACCTGTTCTGGATGGGGTTGCACTTCTCTTGGAGGAACAGGTCCATAGTATGGGAATGCTCTTGGGCCCAGGACTACTGCTGGATAAGCAGAAGGCAGCTGTGACCAGGAGTGCCTTTTACCAGCTTTGACTGGTTAGTCAGCCGTGGCCTTTTGTGGGCAGAAAAGATCTGGCCACTGTGATGTATGCCCCAGTTACATATAAATTAGACCACTACAATGTGTTCTGTGTGGGGCTGCCCTTTAGAAGTGTTTGGAATCGTCAACAGAATGCTGCAGCTAGGACATTGACTGGAGGGTGTCATAGGGACCATATCCCTCCAGTCTTGGACCATCTACACTGACTTCCAATTTGCCTCCCGGCACTATTCAAGGTGCTGATGTTGACCTTAAAAGCCCTGTGTATAGTTTAGGACCAACACACCTAGGAATTAATGCTTTTAAAATGTGATTTTATTACGTATGTTTTAAGTTGATAGTCACCTTGGTGGCTCTTGTGGGGGCAGAAAGGCAGGATACGAGTTTTGGAAAATAAAGACAGCTTATGAATAATCAATAAAATCCATTAAACAAACAAATATCCAAGTATTAAAAACAACTGCTTAAAATTCAACTGGCAGCAGTAGAACAGCTCGATTGCCATAGAGTGGGCAACAACAGAAAAGATGGGGGAGAAAAGAACCATTAATAAGAAGTTTAAAAGCCTGGGGCCCCTGTGCATTCAAAAACAGTGCATGACCTATAAACCTACACTGTGAGCCTAAACTTTAAGGGGAGGTGCAACTCCTTCTTAGACGTTTCATGAACACATATACCATCCACCATCCACCAATGTTACCTCCGTTACCTGGTCCAGCTTCAGTTTATTAGTTCCCCACCAACGAAATACCATCTTCAGGTACATGTTCAAGATCTCTACTGCTTCACATGACTTTAACAAAGAGCTGCAAATCATCAGCAAATTTATTTATTTTTCCTGTTTATAGCCTGCATTTCTCACTGAGAATCTAGGCAGATTATGTAATCACACGGTATAGGACGCTACTATTTTATTTATTCACTTATACCCTACCCTTTTTCTCCCCAACAGGGACCCAAAGCAGCTTACATTGTTCTCCTTTCCTCCTCACAGCAACCTCATGAGGCAGGTTGGGCTGAGAGTGTGTGAGTGGCCCAAGGTCACCCAGCAAGCTTCCATGGCAGAGTGGGGGGATTCAAATGTGGTTCTTCCAGATCCTATTCTGATATTCTAACCACTATACCGCACTGGCTCTGGCCACTGAACTGATAATACAACAGGACCAGGACTATGAAACTGAACAAAGCGAGCCACAATATGACCATATATAAGATATACAGTAAACCATGTGAGTGAGCAACTCAACAGGACTAGGAATACAAAATTAAGTGACAATGTGCTGGTTAGCAACCTTTAGATATAGAACCTGATTATTATTAACTAAGGATCAGAACAATTTGCGTTATAGTTTATTCATGGATCCACATATCCAATCCTGGTTTAATCCAATAGACAAGAAATTAGACATTGTGGGCCTCTTTTAAAAATTGTTGGGGCCAACCTACAGTGATTTTAACAATTAACACTTGTAAAGGATGTCAAGCTTTTCAAGAAAAACTGTCCAAAGCTCGTGGGGTGTGTTCTCCCCTTCTCTTCAATTCAATTCTCTTTTAAAAATTGTTGGGGTCAACCTACAGTGATTTTAACAATTAACACGTGTAAAGGAAGTCAAGCTTTTCAAGAAAACCTGTCCAAAGCTTGTGGGGTGTGTTCTCCCCTTCTCTTCAATTTAGTCCCGACGTTTCCTCACCAGCATGCGCACTACTTATCAACATGAACTGTTACAAAGTATTGCCATGCATTTACTTTGGCAAGCTGTAATGTGCTTCCTTCAGCACTCTTTTTAGGAGGTATAAAAATATTCCCTTCAGTCACAGGCGGTGTTCCCTCTAAGCTGAGTTAGTGTGAGGTAGCTCACAGTTTTTTAGCCTCTGGCTCACACATTTTTGTCTTAGCTCAGGAAGGAAGGCTCCAGAGCAAACTAATTTATGCAGTAGCCAAATCACCTGCTCACAACTTTAATGCCAGTAAGCTCAGAAAGTAGAATTTTTGCTCACAGGACTCCACAGTTTAGAGGGAGCCTTGGTCATAGGTTTTGCCCCTGTTCTAATAATCGGGTTGAGTCGTTGAGGCACGTGTTATTACACTGTAGATTTTACAGCCAAGTACATACAGATCTTTTGGAACCAATACTGGGAGATGATAAACTATCCTCAGATCAGAGGAAGCTAAAAATGTTATTGACAGGAGTCAACCAAAGAGTTACAGTCTCTGTTGCCAAGTTTTTATTTTCTGCTGTGGAAATACAAGCTGAATTAACATCCCATGTGTAAATGGTTATATTTCTTCATTTTAATTTGTGGTTATGGATCTGGATGAATATTGTAACTGGGATTTTTGTATGGCCTGTAGGCTGCAGTAAAGATTAGTACTACTACTACAAGTGACACAGTGAGCAGTCAACTGCCCATACTGACACAGTGCAAGCAATGCAGAATGTGGGATTCCAAAGGCATAGGCAATGCAGTAACTCTTCCCCACTCCCATACAAAACAGTACCGACTGGGATACAACCAGTGTTCCCTCTAAGCTGAGTTAGTGTGAATTAGCTCACAGTTTTTAGGCCTCTGGCTCACACATTTTTGTCTTAGCTCACGAAGGATGGCTCCAGAGCAAACTAATTTATGCAGTAGCCAAATCAATGGCTCACAACTTTAATGCTAGTAGCTCACAAAGTAGAATTTTGGCTCACAAGACTCCACAGTTTAGAGGGAACAATGGATACACCACCACCTAGCCTCATGCCTGACAAGTTATTCAGAAGGCATAAAGCAAACTGACATTACAAACAAAAATGTAAGAAAATATTTTCCAGTTATTCTGATTAGATAGGGAGGTGCCAACATTCACCAGGCTATACTGCAAAGTTTTGACAGAACACACCACCTTTGCTGCAGCTTACATGTTTGCTGAGAAGCAAGTTGCACAGATTGTCCCCACAGCTTCGAATTCTGGTCTTTCAGGCACATGTGGATGAAGTGCACAGCAGGGATTGCCTTCTGAGCAACATTTGCCAAGATTCTTCCTTTCTTTAAATTGTCCAGTTCCTGTAAGACCACCCAGGGGATGACAAGCCCAAATTTGCCAATGCCTGAAACAGAAGACAAATACAGTTTCCTCCCCAATAAACATACTATAGTTCTACCAAACACTGTATTGTTTTTATATTAAAAACTGACTCAGCTATAGATCAGCCACCTGCTTTGAACATTTTTAAATAACTACTGTTTCCAATATGTTCATTTAAATACAAATATTGTAGGCACTATTTAACATTTGAGAAAAAGGGGGAGGGGCCCTCAACCCAAGCTATATGGCTGTGGTATATGAGGGTCAAGCTAACAAAGTAAGTTATTATAAAAATACAAATATTTATTATGGTGTACACATTAGTAAAAGATAAAATAGGTTAAAAGAAATGATCCAAATATCAGACTCTTAAAACGTTTTACACACGGAGCTGATAGTTTTACATATACAACTGATGGGTATATCTTATGCCCCTTAGGGCTTCCTCAGTGGTCAATATTACTATTGTAAAACAACACACATCCAGAAATAAATATATGAAAAATGATTTTCTTTAGAGGCAGGTGTTGCTTTCTGGAATTGTCAAAAGGGAGAGAAAAAAGCCAAATTATTACATATCAAATGCACATAATAATAAATTTTAAAATACCAGAAAATTTTTGCTGCTGTTACCTCATGTGCTGTGCAACTGTTAAAAGTTACCATGACCTACTGCGCATGGTCTACTGGTCATAAGATATACCCATCAATTGTATATGTAAAACTATCAGCTCTGTGTATAAAAAGTTTTAAGAGTCTGATATTTGGATAATTTCTTTTAACCTATTTTATCTTTTACTAATACACCATAATAAATATTTGTATTTTTATATTAACTATTAAATATTCTTAAAAGTTCCTGCATATCTACCAATACTGTCCTGTCTGATTTAAAAATTATATTAGAACAAGGAAATGCCAAATGTTATCAGTAAATACACCCATTCTTCTTATTCTCTTCACAAGTTAAAAGAAAAGCTGTTTTCAGAATGTATCAAACTCACTCATCAAAACACAACATGTTTTTAAAAGCCAGTGTTCTTTAAGAGAGTTTTGTAGGCTAGAGTGTGCAGAACAATGGCAGCAGAGCAATGGTTGTCAAGTCATTAAGTTGAACCTCCCTAACTAAAGAACAGAAAATATTTCATCCTTTTCAAGTAGTCAGGGAGCGGTTAGTGAGTGCAGAGCCCCACCTGGAGACTAACTTCCTCCATCTACATTTTGTGGTTTGAAAGAGCATGTGCTCTGTTTCTTCTCTCCAGTTGCCTCTTTCAATGAGAATTAGAAACATGGCACCAAAGAAGCAGAACACAGATTTCTCAGCTCCTCTATTAAGGGTTAATTTGAGCCTCAAATGCAGGCAAACTCATTGGAGAAGGAGCCACGCCACTCAGCATTGCCTGTTCAAGGACTAGAGAGCTAGCCTACTGAAAAAGGCAATGGCGTTAAACCCTATTGCACAGCTAAAAGATGCTTCGTCTGATAGCAAAGGTGCATGACAAAATGTTTAACTAGTAAATACAAGTGGGAGAGAAGATGCCTAATCAGCAATTAAAAATGCAAGAAATGGCTTTTGACCAGCAACCTAAACAAAGGGACAAGGAAACTATTAATGAACTGCTGATCACGACACATTGAAGACAGAACATACTAGTTCAAAAAACACACTAACAATAGAAGACTCAGAACAAAGTGGCACCTTTAAGACCAACAAAGTTTAATTCTGGATATTGGCTTTCCTGTGCAGGCACACTTCTTCAGACATCATGCACACAAAAGCTTATATCCAGAATTACACTTTGTTGGTCTCAAAGCTGCCACTGGACTTGAACTTTGTTCTGTCGCTTCAGAACAACATGGCTACCGGCATGAATCTATAGAAGACTCCGTTTATTTGATCTTCGAGTACCATATTCTGACAACCAGAACCAAGAATGTTAAGCTACACAGATGCTCCCAAAGCATCTGAGATGGATTTCAGGACTCCAGACTGTCCTCCTTGTTCCAATTATTATGTGCACACCTAGTTCTCTCTTTAGGATAGGGAATAAGTCCAACAATTACTACTTTAATCAAATGCCCATGCTCTTCTGTAGTAAAAGGAGGCATGGAGCAACAGAGAGACAGCCAGGTTGCCACACTGTCTGCCATTCCTTTGCCTGTCATATAAATGTGCGGGGGGGGGGCACAGTAGACTGCTCTGTTGATTGAGCTTTGAAAGGGTCAGTGGGTAAAGCGGAGAGCATGGCACAAAGGCTAGTTTACCATTTGAAATGACCTTATAAAAAGAAGAGGAAATTTAGAGTATTACTTCCTGGCAGATATAAAGTGCACATAAGAAGGTATGGAGCAACAATATGGAATACCTAATCTGTGCAAAGCAACAGCTGTTCGGCAAGATACATATTCTCCATATATTTCAGCTACGCAGCTAAGTCCGTGTACCTGGGATATCCGTATTCTTCAAAGACTTGATGAGCTCTAGATGGCTGATCAGTATGTTAGTATCAATCACAATCAAAGTATTCATGTCAGAAAGGTTTCCTGTTACAAGAACAAGCAGTACAGTAATGAGAAATTTAATCATTTGGATCCCGTGTTTATTCCTCTCTTCCCATGGAGGAAACCATAAAACACTCTACCCAAGTAAGCTTACTAGAAAACTTGTTTGCTTCCTCATCTGGAAGATCTATCTCCATGCTGGTCAACTCTCCACAAGTCTCCACCACAGGTAAAGCTATCTTTTTGTCAACCCGAGCAGCATGCAAATCTTCTACTATCTGCATCTGTGAGAACAGCAATATAAATGTAAAATAAACAAACCACATGCACATTTTGATCCATTAAGGCCAAGGGTTTCCATATAAGTGATCCTGCTTCAGTGCATTTTTGGACTCAAACAGGTAACAAGCTTATCCACAGCCACAACCTTTGGCCACGGAAAACAATTTACAGAAAGAAGACACTCTTTGTGCTCTTCCTGCCTTCCTCTCCCTGCTTTCCAAACTCAGAACTGGTGCAGGAATAACTGGGGATGGGGGGAAGAGAGAGGAGACAGTAAATCTACTAAGCATGGGTAAGCGATTTTGAGTAGGCCATGGGACCACATGCTGCCTCCCCATTCCCATCTGTGATGTCCAGCCTTAAATCAAAATTAAGTATTTTTTCCCCCAGCTCTGACATTAATCACAGTTAAAAGTTAACCAGGTTCTCTGCTAAACCACAATACTCCCAGTAAAATGGTCAGATGAGTGGCAATGTTAAAACTGCTAAGTGGAAAGAACTCAAACTGGAATGATTATGTGAGGTGCAGGGAGAGAATGCAGTCCCCTAACTATGCTTAAGTGATCACCCACATTACGCTTGTACCAGCCCCACGTATGCAACACCAATGGTGTTTATAATTACTGGGGATTATTTCTGCTGAAGGTTCATTTCGATCTAGGGTTGCCAACTCCCAGGCGGGGTCTGGAGATCTCCTGGAATTAGAACTGATCTATAGAATGCCTGGGAGGAAATGGCCCCTTTAGAGGGTGGAATTTAAGGTATTATACCCTGCTGAGTTCTCTCCCCTGCCCAAACCCTGCCCCATTCAGTCTCCACCCTCAAATCTCCAGGAAATGCCAAACCTGGAGCTCACAATCCTAGGTAGGAGAATACTTGATGAGTGGGAGCAAGCTAACTATGGCTACAGTCACAGATACCTCGTGCTGCTACTAGATTTCTTTATGAAATTATTTATGCCTCTTGACAACAAGTTACAGAGCCGATGAGGAACAGCTGGGGCTCAGCGTGAGAGCAACTGCTTTGCATGCAGAGGGTCCCAGCTTCAATTCCCGCATGTCCAGTTAAAAGGATCAGGAAGTGGTCCTTTTTAAGGCAGTGATAATGTGAAAAACCTCTACCTGAGTCCCAGCAGAGATACTGCTTGGCTGAGTAGACAATGCCTTGATAAATCTATGGCCTGACTCAACATAAGGCAGCTTATTATTATTATTTATTAAATTTCTGGATTGCCCAATCTCTGAGTACACAAGGCTCTAGGTGATTTACAACAGGTTAGAAACAGTACAAAATGTCAGATTAAAGTCAACAAATCAATTATCCTTACTTTAACAGTCTCCAGGTGGCATCCTTAATTTTAATCAAAAATCTACTCTGGGCTGTTCTTCTATCTCGTAGGCAGGTTAAGGAGGAGGCCGAAGCGGGCAGAATGGAAAAAAAGAGGGTGCCAGCTATGATGGAGAACTATTGCTGTTCTCAACCAAAAGCCTGGTGGAATATCTCTGCCTTACAGGCCCTGCGGAATTGCATTAAGTCCCCCAGGGCCCTGATGGAAGTTGGCAGAGGGTTCCATGAATTCATATGGTTGAAAAAGGCAAGGTTTGCAGCTGCGTGAGATGAACACTGCAGCAGAATCCAGATGTCTACTGCCACCAGCACTTTCTTTGTTATGTATTTGAGTTTTGTGATGCTTCATCTGTGTTTTACTGTATTTTAACTTTTAATGTAAGCCGCCCTGAGCCTGCCTGGCAGGGAGGGCGGGATATAAATCAAAATAAATTTAAAAAGCATAAGACTAATAAAACTACATAGCCTCTAACCTCTTGGTCTATATTTGCAGTCTCGGTAGGTTCAGCTAGGCAAGAGTGATGTAGACCTCTGGTGTTCTGTAAAAGAAACAAGAGTATTAGAGTTTTATTTCATTTAGGATGCTTTATGCCTGTTAGCCAACTTCAGTGTTTTGTTTTTCAACAGAAAGGTGTGATATAAATAAGTAATACGTTAATGTCACACCAAAAATGTTACACTATAGAAAACAGCTTGAATTTTTGTGGGGCTCAGCCCTTTAGAAGGGCTGAAATTTTACTAGGGGCTTGAAGCAATTTCCACACTGATTTCTGTTCTACAATGAAAGCAGCTACCTAGGTGTGGGGCAGTCAGGGACCTATGCAGACTTTCCAGCCTACAAGTACAGTATTATAACATTAGATAATTGGATCTGTGTACATGTTCTATCGTTCGATGCAACGAACATGAAATTAAGCAATCGATGCAAAGAACATGAAATTAAGCAAACTCCAGAGCACGATGGAAGACAGGAGGGCCTGGCGGGATGCGGTCCATGGGTAGAGATGTGAAGGCCCGAAAAAACCCCGGAAAAATTAGGGAAAAAAACGTTTTTTTCCTGAAGCCTTTTTGTTTTTTTCCGAAAAATTGGAAAAATTGAAAAAAGAAATCAATTATGGAACGTTTTATTTTAACATGATGAATAAAATATTTTAAGACAAGGTGTTCAAATATTTTCCAAATCATTTCTAAAATATATATATATGGTATCAGATTGATCTAATTTCTGTACACTGAGGACAAGCAGGGTCCTAGGTTACAATCTAATGCAAGAACAAGATGCATTTCTTCCTTTAGGGGGTGCTATTGTCACAAGAAAAGAGAAAGGTTTCAGTCTTGTTTTTGCATGTGGGTGGGTATTCTGTTTGTAATAATTGTTTGGATACACTATATTTTTAATATGCTAGTTGTGATAATTTCATGCCAAGTAAAAATGTCCATAGTCATATTTTATGTTCCTAAAGTAACAGAATGACTTTCAATCTAGAAAAGACAAAAGAAATGCTAATGTAGCATTTTTTTCAATTTTTCCGAAAATTCCAGTTTTTTCCGGGGGGAAAACAGGTTTTTTTCCGAGCTTCAAAATTTCCGGAAATTTTACATCTCTATCCATGGGGTCGCGAAGAGTCGGACTTGACTCTTCGACTGAACAACAACAAAATGTTCTATCACATGCTCAGAAAATGGATTTAAGCACGGTAAAACAAAGAAGCTGCAAATACCATATATCAACAGGAGGTGTGACTTTATGTGGTTTGTTACACTAGCAAATGAAGGAGTTTGGCAATTTCAGCTCTTGGTTAAATTTTCGTTTTTACTTTACCTGATTAATATGTAAAACTTCTTCCTCACAGCTCCTTCTGTGTGCCCTTGCACTGCAAATACTATCGACGGATTCAAGACATCGCTGTTCCTTCTGCTTCTGATACTTCCAACCTTTGGACAGTTCAGTCACAGGAATATGTTTCATCTCCTTGTCGCTTTTTCTAGGTAGTGCAGGTGAAGCATGCTTTCCTGGAAGCTCTTCTCTGCCTCCTTGTCTGAACAACTTTCTACCTGAGGAATCATCAAGGGCTGGATATGGCTTTTTGGAAGGTTTCTGTGGTCTGCTGCTCAAATTAGAAGGCTTTTCTGTATGGTGGGGGGAGCACAGGGTAGGAAGTACAGTTTCCCCAATCTGCTCTAGCACGCGCTTCACTATGGTTTCTTTTAGTTTGGTGCGTTCCACTCTGGCCTTTTTTCTGTTCTTCTCCCAGCTGTTTAGGACCTTCAAGTCCTCCAACTTCTTTTTCCTTCTTTGAGCATCAGATTCACTGCAGGCGTCTGATCCAGAGCCTCCGCTGCTAGGAAAGGCTGCTGTAGTGTCCTTATTGCTTCTTCCATCTCCCTCACGTTTAGCCTTATTTTTAAAATGCAAAGTGATCTTTTCACGCTTCTCAATGGGCAAGAAAACAGAACTGTTGCTACTGGCTCCTTCTGAAGTCTGTTTCCCAAAATCTTTGAGATCAAGGCTTCTTTTTGCTTTGGTGTATCCAGCGCCATCACAAACCCTGAGGATGCATAATGGAGAGGAACTATTACAAAGCAACTTGTGAAAGTTGAGATTTTGGTCAAAATGCAGCTTTCTCAAGGAACAAAACAGACTTTGGAAATCCTGGTTACAAGAGGGCAGCCTATGAGGTATGAAAAGGAAGTGGTCAACAGTGGATTTCCCCCTCATCCTACAGCGCACGACAGCTCAGCAGCCCAGGGCTGCAGTATAATGCCCCCTAGAACTATAGGCTTCAACCTTCAACGCACGACAGCTCAGCAGCCTGGGGCCCCCTAGAACTATAGGCTTCAACCTTCCCAGAAACAGGACCATGGGCAAACAGATCAACAGCAGGAAACCAAGCCAAACACAAGATGGTGTACTGCTTAATGAATTAGTTATCCTATGGCGTTGTGTGTAGTATAGCCAGGAGGTAGAAAACCCAAGCCAAACACCAGATGGTGTACTGCTTAATGAGTTATCCTATGGCATTGTGTGTAGTATAGCCAGGAGATCCTAAGATTGTCTGGCAGCCTAAAGTTCTAGCTCTTTTAGCATTATGCATCACTAGGTAGCGAGCTAGACTTATTTGGGGGGCTGATAGAGCTGTGACTGACCCAAGTTCATTCAGCTGGCTTCATGTGGAAGAGTGTGGAATCGAACCCGGTTCACCAGATTGGAGTCTGTCGCTCTTAACAACTACACCATGCCGGCTCTCATGGTGTACTGTAGTGAGGAGCTACAAAACAAAACTCTTTAACACTGGCTTCCCCTCACCATCCTGCTTCTTCTTTCTCTCTCTGTGTGTGAAGTAGAACGCATGGCACACTTTTATCTCTACACACACCCTCTAGCAGCAGGTCCTTCTGAAAAGCAACCAAAGTGGCTACTCTGCAAGGCTTGCAAGCTATGGGTTGATTGCAGAACTTACTGCTGCATTTGGGGCCATGCAAGCAGCAAGCTGTTCATCTGGCCCTGGACCGGAGTGGTACACTGCAAAGAGGAAGATATCTTTCCCATCCCCTCCCTATGGTGTTTTGGAGAGTTCAGGGGGAATGTGTACCTCACCCTCCCTAAAGTCTTAGGGGCTCAAATGGGGATTTTCTTTGAGGGGAGAGGTGACAGAGTCTCGATTTAGATGGAATTTCATCAAAGCAAATCAAATGCTAGGCATGCATGTGTGCATGTGAATACCTTAAAACTTAGCTTGCAGAGGCCAGACAAACGGCATGAGGAGTTGTGGCATTCCAGAGGGCAGAGAAATATCAAGAAAGAGGAACTTCATGTAGGGGAGTAATGGACTGTCAGGACCCTCGCCTCTTCCACATTATCAAGCTACAAGTCGACCTAGCAGATCAACTTAGTATGCTTGCGTGAGTGGTAACAGAAGATGCAACAGTGCCTTGATGATTTAAAATTAAGATTCCCTCAAGAAGCCCCTACCTTGTCTGTCTGTGGGTCACTTTGTTCACCATTCCTACTGAGAGATGAAACACATGGGCACCTGCGACAAGTTTTACCCAGTGCTTAGAAGCTACAGAAATTCAGCCCTAACAGCTTCCTCCAAAAGCCCCGAGGCTCAGAGATGCAGCCCTAGAGTGGTCAACTTTTAAGTGTTAAAAACTAGCTGCTGCAGCCACATTAAGAGGCCTACTGCAGCAAACAGGCAGAACCCAATCCTCTTCCTCTCTTGCCAAGAAGGGACAGTGTAGATCTCACTCCCCACGTTGCTAGGAATTGTTTTTCCTAAGCAAAGCAAGCACCAATGATGTAGGGCACAAGACAAACCATCTACTTGCCCTTGAGAAGAGGAAGGGTATTCATGATTGTGCAGCTCTCGGCGCTGGGACTCAGAATTCATGCAAGCAAACCCGGCATCCTTCGCTGAGTCTAAAGAACGGTGGGAAGACAACTCCCAAATTTCCTTCAGACACAGTGCATGGTCGAGAGTGACTTTTTCTAAACAGTAGCCTAACTTCAGATTTTAAAGACTAACAAAAGCTGTTACAGTTGGAGAAAGTTATGTTTACTATTTAAAAGCACAAGTTGTCACTCTGCCTTGGAAAGGGAAGCCAGCAAGCAGTTTGCTTCCCTTCATCCTGTACCCAAAAAGGAAAAAAAATTAAGGTCTCCTACCATTCTCCCTTGCTAGGAGAAGAGTGGAGAAGCTTTCTTTAGATGTTGCAGTGAGTAAATTTAACTGGATTAAAGCCAGGCAATTAATATACTCTAATTACTAACTGAACGTCAATCTTTAATTATGTGAAATGTATTAATTAATGTCTAAGCTGTAAAAAGCAACTACAAAAGAACAAGTGATACAATAATATTTTTAAGCTAGTGCCCTTTATTGCAAAGAAGAGTTTACCTTTGACTCTGCGGCTGTTCTCCGGCATTATATTTACTGACTTCTGTCCCTTTGTATTTCTGAAAGAGAACAACATTGACTATTTATTTAAATAAAAATAAGGATAGACTACTGTAATTCGCTCTACATGGGCCTACCCTTGCGCTTGACCCAGAAGCTCAAAATGATCCAGAATGCGGCTGCGCAGCTCCTTACAGGGACCCCTCGGATGGCACATATCCAGCCTGTGCTGCACTGGCTCCCAGTAGAGCACTGGATCAGGTTCAAATCTTGGTTTTGACCTTCAAGGCCCTAAACGGTCAAGGACCCACATATCTTCGGGATCTCTCTCAGTATGTCCTCAGAATGTGCCTCACTGTTTCAACTGTAAAAAGCCAGGGCAGCCAAAATCATTGTGAATTTAACTCTCAAACTGGTTTCTTGAGCCCATTAAGTTGTTCCAGAATTGGTGCTACATGTGGTACTTGGCTGGCTACATTGTACAAATGGTGCACCTGTGCCCTGGCAGTTCTCAGATTTGGCCCAGCATATTCCTTAAGCTTTATTAGTTCAGGCAATAATAATTACAATATTTAGAACAAAGGGAAAAAATGATCACTGTATAAATGGTATGAAATTATACTACTTCACTAAGCATGCAGATATTCAACTTACACTACAGCATTTAAATTGAACAAAGTCTACAGTCAGAGTAATTAAACAATCACATTATTTAAAATCAGCAGGCGCATATAAATGTACTTCACAACCAGATAGACATTCTAGTGTATTGCTCTAACAGTTCTAGACCTTTTGACGAAAAATGACAAATACATAATTTTAGAGTTTTTTGATCAACAATACCCAAAGCTCACTTTTGTAACACTTTCTGAGGAAGCTAAGCTAGAATGGCCCGAACTCCTGTCACTGGAAGACTTGGAATGCTAAAACACAAAAAGAAGAAAGTTGTTGTAACTTTTTAATTATTATTATAACAGGTTAAAGCAGATCACAATGCCACTAACTCATATGAACAACAAAGCGCCACAAATTCCACAATTACTAGTTTCACACAAAAAGCTATTACCTTTACCAGTAGCCGAGGTGGGGGGGAAATACCAAGGTTATAAAAGCTTCCAAATGTGGCTGCCCAAAAGTTACTCTTACCACAGGCAAGTGAGTGACTAGATTATCACAGGAACAAAACGTGAGCACACAGCTGCATGTTGTTGATTCCCAGTAGGGTTACCAACCCCAAGTTGGAACCTGGAGTTCTCCTGGAGCTACAATTAACCTCAAGACTACAGAGAACAGTTCCCCTCTAGGAAATGGGAGTTTGGAGGGAAGATTCACAGAGTCTAAGAGAACTGCCAGTCCTAGAATGGCTTCAGTGGGGTAGGACTTCTCCTTGGTAGACCATAAAGAGTAGGACTGTAACGTGTAACATGAACTCAAATCATAGAGACTAGGCCTGTCATAACATTAAAGACTTGAGACAACTTGGGGATTGAGAAAGGGATGGGACTGCTGTTGGCCAGTGCCATTCTATGGGCATTCTGAGTGGACTTTTCTCTTTAGCATTGACAAGCACCTCAAGGAGGATTTTGAGAGGGTTTTGTTTTTAAAGTTGAGTGGAATGTAACTGGATATATCAGCACACATATTTAGGATGAAAAGGTTATGACATAAGAATGCATACATACTGAAGCCTACAAGCAACGTAAAGTGATAGAGAAGGAAGAGGAAAGTGATGAGGTGGGAAATTGAATTTTGGCAGGAGGAAGTGACTTCACAGAAAAGGGGAGGAGTAGGACAACCTAAACTTTAATCTGGACATGACAACCTAATTCTCAAGGCTCCACTTTTAGTTAACATAGACATGTGTAATGTGCCAAAAAAGAGGAATTACTAATATTTAAAAAGTGTGTGAAATACCTGAAATGCATATTATTACTATTATTGCTAGTGATGGGATCAGATTCATTTGTGAGGTTATCCCAACTTGCTTTCAGCAGCAGGCCACATTTCTACATTGTGACTGTGAAGAAGTTCAAAATACCATTTTCTCAGCATTCATACTTTCTTACCTTGCTGTCTGAAGTGTCACACTTTTTGCTGGATTTCCTGTTGTCCCTCCGGGACATGCTAACGCTTCAGAATCTAAAAAAATGATAGTATATCACTTCCAAGACTCAATTAGAATAAGTATTTTCAGGGGATATTATCTGAACAATACTAGCCAAATATAAAACTTCTCATTATGTGAAATGAAACTCATAATTAAAGCTGTTTTCTTGGGATCAATATTAAAGTTACTGATCAGTTTTCATCCTTAGATCTAATAGAACCCATTATTTCTCTGGGAATGGATCTGGGAGACCGACTGACTCACGGCCCTCAGTTTGCAGGACCTGAGAATGGCTGCTAACAATAGGGAAGGGGAAGAGATTGTAGGCCGCTTTGAGACTCCTTAGGGTAGTGAAGGGCGGGGTATAAATGGGTTGCCATAAGTCAAAAGCAACTTGAGAGCACTTCACACACACACACACACACACACACACCTAACGGTTAGTAGTGTTTTGATAGCTTTCCAATGTCCTTGTGCTCTAGTGAAATGAGATGGTATTTTGGTATATAATATACCTTCCTTTCAAAGATTGCCATTTGTGACCTAAGTTCTCACCCAGGGTATCTGGCTGCTCATCCACACAACAGATCAGAAATTCTGGGCTACAGACAATTAAGCTGGCCAGGGAGGAAGGCGTGTGTCTGAAGCAGTACACATGCCCACACAGAGCCCCTATCTGTGCCTCAACCCACAGTTAGAGAAATAAAGAGAACTGTAGTGGTGAGAGCCAGTTTGGTGTAGTGGTTAAGTGCGCGGACTCTAATCTGGGAGAACCAGGTTTGATTCCCCACTCCTCCACTTGCCCCTGGCTGGATGACCTTGGGCAAGCCATAGTTCTGGCACAGCTGTTCTTGAAAAAGAGCAGTTTCTGTCAGAGCTCTCTCAGCCCCACCTACCTCACAGGGAGGGGAAGGGAAAGGATTTTGTAAGCCGCTCTGAGACACCTTTGGGTAGTGAAGGGCGGGGTATAAATACAATCTCCTCTCCTCCTCCTCCTCAAAGTAAGAAGACTGAGAAGGGAGGGCTGGGGGAAGACAAAAACCCCTCTCAATGCATGCAGATTTCCTTCTGCCTCATGAGCAAAAGTAGCAGGAAGGGGACAGGTGGGATCATTTTTACACTGCCAACTACATGCTTGCGCAAAAATATGATTCATTATTATTATTATCAGGGGCAGGCAATGGCAAACCACCTGTGTTCATTTCCTCCCTTGAAAGCCCTATGGGGTTGCCATAAGTCAGCCATGATCCGATGGCACTTTCCACCACCAAGGCATAAAAAATGGTATCACTGTATGTGCAGACATGACAAAAAAGGCAGACCTGGTTGCTAGAGTAACCAAAAATGTCACATGGAGGAGGAAGAAAGTGCAGTCAGAACCAGGGGCAGTATGGGGAGGAGGAGTACTGAACCAGCAAGGGAGGGGATTTTCCCTTCCTGGTGAGTCCTCACAGATTCACACTTGTTAATTCATGATATCCACAGCACTACACTCAGAAAAACTCCTGGTAAGCATTACTTCCCTCACTCACTCCACAGTTGAGGCTATGTAAATCAGACAGATTGCTGTCCCTTCTAGTGAGAGGTAGCCCCTCCCCAATTTGAGTCCTGCCTGCCCAACAACAGTAAGATTCAGAACTGCTGCTTATTCTTTATTTTTGAAAAAAGGGTCAGGATAGGGTCGCCAGCTTCCAGGTGGGGCCTGGGGATCTCCCGCTTTTACAACTGACCTCCAGCTGACAGAGATCAGCTCCCCTGGAGAAAATGGCTGCCTTGAAGGGTGGACTCTGTGGCCTTGTACCATGCTGAGGTCCCTCCCCTCCCCAAACCCCACCCTCTCCCAGATCCATCCCCAGAGTCTCCAGGTATTTTTCAAACCAGGCCTGGCAATCCTAAGCTAGGAAGATGCTAAAATCATTTCTAGCACTCCATCTTCTCTTTTTTGAGGCGTGAAAGAAGCCAGAGCTCTAGTCCTAATGCCAGTATGTCAGCCTACTAAGAGGGCAGCTGCTTCCACAGCCTGTAACAAAAATCTTTAAAAAAATTAAAAATATAAATACCAGACACACACCCTTTTCTACACAGAGCCAAAACAGAAAAGTCAAATTCAGCTCTGTAATGATTTCTTGTTTTATGAGAGTGTGTGCGCCTTTAAATGTTTGGTTGAAGTGTGGTGATAAGCAGACTAGAGTGATTGAGAGAAACAAATGTGCTGTGATTGGTGGATGACAGTGTGGGAGGAGTTTTTGAAAGGAATCTCTCTCTGTGTGTCAGCTATGAAAGTCAGTGGAATTGTTCAGTTGGGGTTCAGTCAGTGAGAGTTAATATAACGTAGTTCTGTGAGAGATCTCAAAGACGGGAATATGTATGTCCTTAGCCTGAGTGGCTGACTCTAAAGGAAAGAGTGAATCCTGTTGATGTTGGAACTGAGGGTCAAACAAACAAAAGGAAAAAAGGCTGCATGTTTGATACATTTGAACAACCATATTTACAAGTCCCTTTATCCTAAACAGTTACAGAATAACCAACCTCATATTTTGTTCTTAGTTCAATAAATCATTTTTTGTTTGTTATCCCAGAATTGAATTCAATCCTTACTCAAGACCACATAGATCCCTGAAAAGCCTAGACACTGGGTTACTTTACCAGAATGAAGAACAGAGAGAAGGTTTGGAAGTCCTTAAATTCCTGGTGGCGGCTGAATCTACCCAGTTTAATTAAGCGAAGAGCACATTTAAAGAGAAAACCAGTCCTCCTTAATTAGAGGACGCCACAAGCTCCTTGCAGTCTGAGGTCCATTTACAGTATTTATACTGATAGCAGCACCAGTGAACTAGCATTTAAAATCATTATTAAGTCAAAAAAATAGACAATGAAAGAATGGTGAACAGAATTACAAGTAGGAAAATTCTTGTTATGCTCCCAGCCTTTAGACATCCAATTCAAAGAAATCTCCCAGAACTGGCACCTACACAGGCATGAACTCTTACAGCCTAACTCTTAGTGCCACAGAATTAGTAAGTATTCAGCGGCTGAACTGCAACTTAATCTACTCTAGATGTAAGGGAAACCAGAGGCAAATCTTGGATGGACAATTAGCAATAATTTGATAAGAGCTTCGTAGGTCTGTTTAGAACCTTTGTTTAGACAGTTTCCTTGTCCTCCCTTGCCGTCTCTTCAGAGAACCTGCTTGAGGTTAAATATATAGTAGATGCTATATAGAAACAAACAGATCCCTGTCTGCAGGCTCAGTCTTAAAGAATGAGACAAAAGTAGGAGACTTGAAAGAGAAAGTGATCTTAAGATCCACTAATGGACACACAATTATAATTGCTAGAGACCTTTGTTGAATCTAGTTTATGACCTTGAAGAGAGAAAAAAGAGGATGTCTTTCAGTTAGCCACAGTGTGATAACACTTCTGTTTTTGAATCTGAAGACCAAAGGTTTATCTGTATCTCACAGCTTTTTTACGTCTGGGACAAGTGAGGATTTGGCATCTGCATCTCAGTGTTGAAGGTCTCGAATACGAATAGTCCCTTGCCTTTTTGGGGGGGGGGGGGGGGGGGGGCCAACATTTTATGATTCCCCTACTGTCACATTCTATGTTACCCATGCCTTGCAGCCCTACCTTACTGTTCCCTTGGCAGAAATTTCTTTCTGTGGAAATATCTGTTGAATTGATTATTGTTTACTGACTATGAAGCCAGTGTCCTCCATCTTGTACTGTTGACACAAAAAGTATCTATATTCTGCTTCAAGTAGTTCTAGCATGCCCAGTTATGTTAAAGCTAACATTTTTCATTCTATTCTGTCTCTTTGCTGCCTCTCCTCTGTCTCTCCATGGAAAAGCCAAAATAGTACCTCAAGGTCAGTGTTAACCAGAGTATCTGCGGGGAGGGTGGGGTATAAAAATAAATAAAAATAAAATAAATATCTTAAGGACCAACACAATTCTGGCACTTTTTATGGGCTGGAATTTATTTTATACAGCGCATGAACTGGTCTAGAAAGCTGTCATTGGGGTTTATGTGTTTACATAATATCAGTTGGGGCCATGAGACACAAGAAATCCCCTCACTGGTCCCTGCTTTGTCTTCTGACATCAATCCCCAGCCACCTTTCCCTATATTTCCCCCCCCCTCCTCCTTACTTCTTCTCCCCTTCTTACAAACACTGGTCCACACCTCCTCTTCTCCTCTTGCCCTCCCACTGCACCTCTTTCCTCATTTTGACTTCCATATCACTTCACACTCTGCCCACTCACTTAGACCCAAACTTAGTTCTCACGTCTGTTTATTAATGCTTGTATCTGTATGCTCTCCCTCATGGATCACTGCCTTGACGTGGTGAGAGGACTTGCGTGGTTCGATGAGGCTATGGGCTATATTGTGGAGGGCCACCCAGGACGGACAGGCCACAGCAGAGAACTCAGACCAAGTGTGATCCAATGGAGAAGGAAATGGCAATCCACTCCAGTATCTTTGCCAAGAAAACCCCATGGACAGTAACAAAAGGCTACAAGATATGATGCCGGAAGATGATCCCCTCAGGTCGGAAGGTGTCCAATATGCTACTGGGGAAGAACAGAGGGCAAGTACAAGTAACCCCAGAAAGAGTGAAGTGGCTGGGCCAAAGCCGAAAGGATACTCAGCTGTCGATGTGTCTGATGGTGAAAGGAAAGTTTGATGCTGCAAAGAACAATACTGTATAGGAACCGGGAATATAAGATCTATGAATCAAGGTAAGCTTGACATGGTCAAAAATGAGATGGCAAGACTGAACATCGACATCTTGGGAATCATTGAACTAAAGTGGACAGGAATGGGCGAATTTAACTCAGAAGACCATTATATCTACTACTGTGGCCAAGAATCCCATAGAAAAAATGGTGTGGCCTTTATAGTCAACAAGAGAGTGCGAAAGGCAGTAATGGGATACAATTTCAAAAACAACAGGATGATCTCGGTCCGAATCCAAGGCAAACCATTCAACATCACAGTAATTCAAGAC